GTGATATCGTCATTCATGCCGACTAACCTTATAGTCTTCGAAGAATGGTTGGTAAATTTTCAATACTTACTTTATTAGGGGTGAGGGCGGAAACAGAGGAAGTGAAACTGCCGTTATTAGATTTTATGAAAACGTGAGTCGGAAAGTTGTAAGTGTGTGTTGGTGCAGTCTGCATCCGACACCTCGATATAATAAACAGATTTCTGTTTAACTTTTGCTTAAATATAAACTAAACTTAAATTAAAAAAACTAAATTTTAGAAAAAACAGCCCCTTACTTTTATAGTCTATAAGCCGAATATTTTTTCCTATTAGGTTCCTGTCAGGTTCCTAGGTATTATAAAAAAGTATTATAAATATGTCGGTACAATACAGAAATAAAATCCGCACTCGAAAAGTCAATATAAACCGCACAACAAATTATGATTATAATTGTGAACAAAACAGTCAATTAAAGGCGACGAGAGAACTAGATGACAGCTCACAGTTTTTTCTTTAGCCACGAAATACATAGACAAGGTGAAAGAATAAGAAACCAAAAAATACAGCTGCCTAAGCTCAAAATAGCTTTCCAAAATATTCAAAGCATTGGAAACAAGGTGGATTTAATAGAACAATTGCTTGTAGATCACGAAATAGATATAATCTCATTATCAGAATTGTGGAAAAACGAGCATTATTGTCAATCGGTTTTGCCTCCTGGCTATAAAATTGGTTCTATTTTCTGTCGGAAAACCCGCGAACATGGAGGAGTTTGTATTATTACTAGAAATTCGTTGTATTCTATTGAGATGTTGGATATTGTGCATTGTTCAAGGGAATTTGTAATAGAATTTAGTGCGATAGAAATACCCCGAATTAATTGTATCTTCATAGGACTATATAGAGCGGATCGCCATATTGATATATTTTACCAACAATTGGACAAGGTTTTACATAAATTAAATACTAAACATTCACATAAACACATAGTAATAGGTGGCGACTTCAACATTAACGTACATAGCAAAACTAAACAATCCTTGGATTTTTTAAACTTTATGAAATCGTATAACCTCCAACAAATAATCCGCGAGGCAACACGAGTAACTAAAACAACATCCACTTGCATTGACCTGCTCTTTACAAACTACCCGCCTCTCATAAACAAACCAGCTGTTTGTGATTATGGACTGTCAGATCATAAAGCGGTAACTCTTCAACTAAACCTAGACTATCTCATAAAAAACAATCATAAAACGTGGTCAACGGAGAAAAGAATATTTTCAAAAAATAAGATGGAATGTTTTAGAAACTCGTTAAAAACAACAAATTGGGAAAGTATACTAAACAACAACAATAGTGTACAAAAAAATTATGAATCCTTCATGACATTCATAGAACAAAATCTCAATAAACATATCCCGGTACAAAAAATAAAAATAAAAAGCAAACCTAAAAAAGGGTGGCTGACTACAGGTCTCAAAAATTCATGCAAGCATAAAAGGGTGTTAAGAACCATCTTTAATGAAACTAAAAGTGATGTAATAAAAAAACACTACAAATCATATAGTAAAATATTAAAATACACTATTAGAAAATCAAAAAAATTGGAATTTATTAGGCAAATGAAAAATTCTGAAAATAAGGTCAAAACAATGTGGAATATAATTAACACAAAAACCGGTAAAACGAAAATAGACAGACTTAAAAATATATCATTAAATGTTAACAATGAAGAAGTCAATTGTCCTTCAGATATAGCCAACATATTTAACGAATTCTTTGCAACGGCAGGGCACAACCAAACAACCAGCTCTAACATCGCCCCTGGACAACCAGTGGTTAACCCCTCCACATGTTCAATGTACGTGCGCCCTGTAAATCAAAAAGAAATAATCGATATCATTCGATCAACTAGAAATAAGCATAGTTGTGGTATCGACGATATTCCACCAATCTTATTAAAACAATGTGCAATGGAACTTTCAACCCCTCTGACATTACTAGTAAATCAAAGTTTTGAAGACGGTCAATTTCCAGACGCACTAAAAGTCGCTTTAGTCAAACCAATACATAAGAAAGACGATACAAACACTCCTACAAATTATAGGCCAATAGCCCTTTTACCAACGTTTTCAAAGGTATTCGAAAAAGCTATGTGTAACCAGCTATATGCGTTCCTAGAAAAGTTTAATATTCTTGACGATTCACAAAATGGATTTAGAAAATGTAGATCAACAACGTTAGCCGTGTACAAATATATTCAAAGAGCGTTACAACACATAAATGACAAACAACACGTAGTAGGAATGTTGCTGGACATGACAAAGGCGTATGACAGGGTCCTGTACGACATTTTACTCAACAAATTATATGGCTGTGGAGTACGGGGACCCGCTTATTCATGGTTTAAATCATACTTAGAAAATAGGACACAAATAGTACAAATTAATCATTACAACCATGACAAAAATGAAATAAAATCCTTCAGATCTCGAGAACTCCAAATAACTTCCTCAATACCCCAAGGAAGTGTATTGGGTTGTGTGTTATTTTTAATTTATATAAATGATTTGCCAAAAACATTAGACAAAGAAAAAACTCTGCCGGTACTTTTTGCGGACGACATTTCGATACTATTAAAATGCGAAAGTGAAAATAACCCAAATCTTCTTTTACAAAACACTCTTCAAACAATAGATAACTGGCTTAAGGATCACAACTTAGAAATAAATTCAACTAAAACAAAAATAATACAATTCAGATCTTATAAAAAATCTCCTTTAAAATTGAACATAATGTACAGAAACACACGTTTAGAAGAAGTTGAGACATTTACATTACTTGGGATGAAAATAGACACACATATGAATTGGAAATCACACATCGAGCACATTAAATCAAAACTTTCTAGATTTTCTTACGCCCTTCTTCAAATTAAACGATCTACTAACACACAGACAGCTTTGTCTGCTTACTACGCGTATGCATACTCGTGGCTCCGATATGGCATCATGCTATGGGGAAATAGCGTTAACAGCGGTGAACTATTCATAATGCAAAAGAAATGTATAAGAATCCTAGCCCAAATTAATAACACGGAGAGTTGTAAACCATTTTTTAAAAAATTTCAACTTTTAACTCTGCCCTCGATATATATACTCGACATATGCGTATTTGTGTTCAAAAATATTGATGCCTTTACAAAAGTAAAAGACACCCACACCATAAACACCCGGCACAAAAATAGGCTTTACCTTCCTCCGTCAAGAATAAAAATGTTGAACGAAAGCCCATACTATATGGCAGTTAAAATATTTAACAAGCTACCAGACGTTATTAAAAACGAAAGAAAACCACTACTTTTCCAAAAAAAAATTAAACTTTATCTCACACAAAAATGTTTCTACTCAGTCAAAGAATATTTGGAACCTACCTCAACATAACATTTACATAATTGCGATCCGCCCTATACAAATATTTACTATTTTTTTTATCACTTAATTTCAATTTTAATATACAATATAATATAATTACTTTAATTTATAATAATATTCAAAGCTGACATGATTTTATTGACAAATCTTTATTTATTGTCTCACTTATTCTATAAATTCGTGCATATGGTATAGAAGAACTTTTAATAATAAAATTGACCTAGTATGGACTGTGAGCTGCTAGTGTAGCACTTTATGACACCTTTTGCACACCATTGTCATGGTAGAATGTACTGAACCAGTATTGTAATTATTGACATCTGTTGTATGTACTACATTCTGCAAATAAATGAATTTGAATTTGAATTTGAATTTGAATAAATAATAATATTTAAAACGTTATTTATCCCCTATGTACCTATTTATCTATATTGATCTTTATATTACATTAAATTTAAATAGGTTTTTACTAAAATAATTGGTCCCGAACCGACTTCAAATTGTATCACTTTCTTATATTTTCATATCCGTTTGAAACAGTGAGACTAATATTTCGATCTTTCAAATTAGGTAATGTTCAAATATTTTATTTATTTTTCGGTAAAAAAACAATATCATTCCTGTTTCTATTACCTATGTCTAAGTAACCGCAATCCAAGATTCCTCGTACCTACCATATTTCTACATACCTACTTACTATGGAAAAACTTATCTAGGTACTTACTTATATAATAACTACATAGTAAATATTCCTAAATTTTAGCAATAACTCTGTCCACAAAGAATGCAGTAATTAACTCCTTTATCGTACAGTTATAGTGTAAAAAATTGTATTTTTATACACTATTCCGACGGTGTCAACGACTTAATCTATCCAACTTTAGAAGATAATCTTTATGCTAAAATTCATTTCAGTCTTAGCAGTCTAAAATATTTCTAATTTAACATTCTTTTATAACAACAAAATACTATATCAATGTAGTAAAAAGCATTTAGTTTTGAACTATTTTGTAAATAGTGAACTCTGGCTTCGAATTCCACTATCACTACGGGAAGGGAAACACATCTAATATTTAGTCTCAGGGGATACGAGTGTATTCGTATAGATGGCGCTGTATGGCACTCGTTACTAATTATTTTTATTATCTCTAAAATCTCTGACTCCTTGAGTAAAATGTCAGTAAATTAATAAATACAATTAAAAGATCAACCTAAAATCAAATTTTAATTCCATAAAATTTAATACAATAATGGATTATACAGCATAATTTCATTTTATTTATTTATTTAAAGTAAATCATTATAAGTATGTAATAAAATACTAATTTGAAATAAAAAGTTAAATACCTTTATCTACATTGTTGTTTTTTAATTACGTTGACCAAAGGAGAAATATATACAAATCTTTTTAAACGGCAACATAGCCACCAAATTTGAGAGGTTATGTGGTATTTATGTCCGAGACAGTTGTATGATGTGTCAAAGTACGTGTTTTATTTGTGAAACGTTTATTAATATCTTAGTGTTGGACTAATGTTTTGCAATTGATAATAAAACGATAAATTCAATAACTCTCTGTACAATGGCCGTTGTAATTGAAACGACTCTTGGAGACATCACAGTAGATTTGTACCTAGATCAACGACCTGTAACATGTCTAAACTTTCTGAAACTGTGCAAAATGAAGTACTACAACTTCAATTTATTTCATTCTATTCGAAGTGGCTTTATAGCTCAAACAGGAGATCCATCAGGTGAAGGCTCAGGAGGGCAATCAGTATTTGGTTTGCTAGAGGGACCCCAAAAGCGATTCTTCTCTGGCGAAAAAAGACCCAAAATTCGTCATAATGATGTGGGTTTACTTTCAATGGTCGGTACCGGAGACATGATGATTGGCTCGCAGTTCTTCTTCACTTTAGCTCCAGATTTGGACTCCTTGGATGATGTACATTGTGTTATTGGTGAGGTTACAGAAGGCCATGAAGTTTTACGTCAACTAAATGATGTTATATGCGATGAAACACATCGTCCTTACCGTGATGTGAGAATAACACATACCATAGTACTAGAAGATCCATTCAATGATCCCGTAGGTCTGAGGGCACCTTCAAGATCACCTTCACCTAGTGCAGAACGTTTGAAAAATGGTCGGATTGCTCCAGACGAAGAAGTAGATGAAACTCTGGGTAAATCTGCAGCTGAGATCCAAGAAATGATAGAGGAGAAGGAAGCCAAGGCCCGGGCTACTATCTTAGAAATTGTTGGTGACTTACCTGACGCTGACATTGCTCCACCTGAAAATGTTCTTTTTGTCTGTAAACTGAATCCAGTTACAACTGATGATGATTTAGAAATAATATTCAGCAGATTTGGCAAAATTGTTAGCTGTGAAGTAATAAGAGATAAGAAGACTGGGGACTCTTTGCAGTACGCCTTCATTGAGTTTGCAGAGAAAAAGTCATGTGAAGATGCCTATTTTAAAATGGGTAATGTATTGATAGATGACAGAAGAATTCATGTAGACTTCTCTCAGTCTGTATCTAAGATGAGATGGTTAGGAAAAGGAAGAGGAGTAAAATACTTAAATGATGATGATGACAATAGTTTCCAACCACAAAAAGAATTGTCAAAAAGTTCTCAAAGTAAGGAAAGAGAATATAAAAATCGTGAGAGTGACAGGTTTTCTTACAACAATAAAAAGAAATATGAGAACAAAGATCGAGAGCTTGAGCGAGAAAATAGAAGATCAGTAAGAAAAAGAAGTAGAAGTCCGATAAACAGGCAAACATCAAGAAACCATAGAAATAATGAAAATAATAATTCTAACTCTAGAATAGATACAAATAATAGGGACTACAGATATGATGTAAATAAAGATGAAAACAATAGGAATAGCAGAAATCATGGCTCTAGTAGGCGGACCTCACCAACAAGGGATCGAAAGGAGGACAGATCAAGAGATCACAGAGATGAAAGAACAGATAGTAAAAAAAATTATAGAGGTGTAGAGAACAAATCTACAAATAGAAAAGATAATATATCTAGAAGGTCAAGGTCAAGAGACAGCATAGATGGTATGCATAAAGATGATAGAGATAAAAAAAATGATAGAAGAAGTGGAAGGGCAGACAGATCAACATACAGAATAGAAGAAAGAGTTAATTATCATAGTAACGATCAGCCACGAAAGAGACGGAACTCTTATGATGATAGAACAAGAAATGGGAAAGAAGAACAGAATTATGATAAAAGAAATTATGAAGAAAATAAAAGTGTATCTAGGAACGAAAGAGAAGATAAAGAAAGAAGTCACAAAAGTAAACATAGCAGAGAGGATACCAAATCTGACACAGAAAAAACAGAAAGTAAAAAACGAAAACACATAGAAGAAGAAATCAAAGTATATAGGAGTAAAAAGTCCAAACAGTCTTCAGAATGTATTGAACCTAAAACACCGTCTCCATCTGAAAAAAATAACAGAAAAACATCTAAAAGCAAAGGGAAACATGTAAAGAAACATAAAAAAGTTTCCAAAAAGAAACGAAAACAGTCTACATCATCAGACAGCTCTTCAGAATCAAGTACTTCAAGTGAATCAAGCTCATCTGATAGTGATTGTAAAAGGAAACGCAAACGCAGAAGGATGAAGAAGTACTCAACATCGAGTTCCAGCAGTAGTGAAAGCAGTACATCATCTAGTTCATCATCAAGTACAGAATCTACTAGTTCCTCCAGTTCCAGCTCTGATAGTGATAGTAAAAAGAAGAGTAGAAAGAAAAGTAACAAAAAGAAGAAGCAAAAAAACATATGAGAAAGGGTAAAAAAATATTGTACAAAGGTGGACGTAATCCCAGTCTACCTTAAGGTGGTGTAGAGATGAGTGTTTAGGTGCACTAGACTCAATAACAAGACTTAACTAAGAAATACATACACAAAAGGGTACGAGAAAAAAATAATTATGTTGGATGTTAAAGAAGATAGACTTAAGTGACCTTAGTTGCACATTTGTTTGATTTGTATACAAAACAAACAAATGTGTGTTTAATTTTCATAGTTATTTACTATAGTAATAACTAATAACTATAAAAATTAAACAAATATGTGCATAGTAATAACTTATTAGTTATAAGTTCTGATTATTCCTTGTGGCCATTTTGTATAATAATTTCGATTATTGTTCAATCTTGACTTCTAATAGCAGCCAACAAACTGCTAAATGCTGCTAAATAGTTTAATTTATTAAATATATGTGATAACTTACAAACGTAGTGTAGGCCAGGTGGGGTGAAGATATGCGCAAGATGGCTGGCAGGAGCTGGATGCGAGAAGCCCAAAATCGATCTAAGTGGCGTGCAATGGGAGAGGCCTATGTCCAACAGTGGACTGCGATAGGCTGATGATGATAACTTACAAATTTTTACACATGAAATTTCATAAAATGTTTGTATTTTTTTTATTTTAACTAACTTTGAGCAGCCATATGTAATCTAACTTTTAATGACACTTTATTTTTTTAAAGTGAGGTCTTACCAGAGTTAAGCACTTGCCCCTAGACCAAAACAATCCTTTAGTATAAGCAGTTTATTTATGATACTTCAGTTACCTATTTATGATGATAAATGACGGATATGTTAAGTTCTCTGTTCTATATCAAGTAACTTTGAACTACTCATATACAGGCATTGTTGTGTGCCATTCAAGACTGCTCCGTTTGGTATTGGTAGTTTTTTAAAATTAGTTTTGCAGTATTGACTACTTTTAATTTCCTTGTTGTTTATTTCTTTGAAATATTGCTAATCTCAAAATGGATGTTAGATAATATCTACGTAAATTTTCTATAATATCTAGTGCCTTCAGCAATAAAAAGATACTTAGAAAATTAATGCAATGATGTTACTTAACATAATTTAGATTAATATTTACAAATATATATCAAAATTTGCAAGTAATTGTGAGACACACAATGAGAGAAAGGATTGTATTGTATGCAAATAGTTTCTAACAATGTTATTCCAAACATTGCCTATATAATCTATCAAAAGTTTTAACTAACATTGCAATATCATATCTATATATATATGTAACAACAAATAGTTGTTAAAATTTGTAATTAGCCATAAATATTGAAACACAATATGTACAACAGTTTGTTAACTCTTGAGCACAAATATAAATTGACTATGCATTAACAAACTAACAATCAAATGTTACCCAAATATTTAAAAATTGTTATCACTAATTTTAAGGTAAATTGCATCAATAATGAAGATAACAGTATCTTAAAATTAAATTATATAATATTTATGCTAAAGACATTTTCTGATGATCAGTATACAATGTTATATCTAACATATGCAGTAGCTTTTTAACTTCATGGAATGCAGGATAAAGAGATATAAATTTAAATTACCAAATACACAAAACATTGGAAAGTAAGTTAATTAATCATTATCATTAAAACATTCCCTAAACTATCTTCTATCCCAATTATTCCAAGAATTGAAAAACTCCCCAATGCCATAAATCTGAATTGAATTTATGCAAAAGCCGTAATAGAAATATTACAATATTTTTTTAACATAGATACAAGATACAAATTATTATTCAACTGCACTAGCAAAACTTTCATATTAAGGCTGCTTTTGAGGTATCGTTAAATCTGAACATCCATAATGATGATGTTCTATCAATTAAAATCTCAAGATTGTCTTGTTAAGTATTTCTGTAATTAGAAAAATATGTACTATTTATTTGTTACTAATCATAATTATTTCCTCATATCATATTTAGTATTAAACATTAAATAGGACGGGACGGTTCCCGTCCTATTTAATGTTTAATACTAAATGACATGACTATATACATAACAAAAAAATCACAAAATTGGGAAAATGTAAATAAATTGAATGATTTCAAATTATTGCAGTTGTAATATTTGACGGATTGATTACATGATGTTTATGTGTGTCGTGGCCCAACTATTTTTTTTTTATTTGTATGCATCTTGATGCAAAATAATTAAGTTATAATTTAAGTCTTTAAGCATCTAGCTTTGTGGTTTGTTTTTCTTCAACTACGTGATTTCAAATTAGGTACCCAGAAAGAAACGTCACAGTAGACCCATAATATTATGTATGATTATTTTTATATACTTAATAAAGTACACTGAAATAGTGCATATTTTCGTTTTATTTACGTTTATTCCAGTCCTTTTGAAAGTCTTTCTTAATACATGAGTTACCAATAAATTAATTATTAGAATTTTCATCTACTGTTGGTAAGTTAAAAGACCTTATTTTACAGATTTTGTATGGAGATAGGACAAAAATGCACAAACAAAATTATGTGGACTTAGCACAAAGTGACCCTTCTATTTGTGCGTGCTTATTTCATCTAAGTGCCAAATGTAATTTACAAGTTGTACATTTAATCTTCACACTGACAGTTTTGAAATATTTCTTTAAGAATACTGGTGTTTATAAATTAAAAACTTGGATCCCTTTTTTTTAATTTTTATGTCGGTCACTGGTTCAAAAGTTATAAGCGGTTATAGGTGGCCCTGCTGGGGATAATCACCCCAGCTTGGAAACGTGGCCAGGCTCGTCTCAAAAAGTAGGGCACGTCTCAAATTTAGTCGCTAAGCAGCCAGAATTTGTAGTAAAGTCACAGATTTATTCGGGTCTTAGTTTAGGAGATATAATGAGCCCAATTATTAAGGTAGGTCTAGTCTAAGAGCTAGGTCGCAGAGTTTACGAAAAATTATATTATTATGAATGTGTACTACTTCTAGTTTTAAGTCCTTAGAAATGTAAGAGATAGATAAATCATTAATAAATTAAATACTTTTGTTTTAAATTTCTAGGTTAGATTTATTACATAAAAAAAAGTAATGGGAACAACAAAATACACATTTTTTCGACGATTTTCGCTTTATTATCAAAATATTCTCAAAACTTGTAATTTTACATTATTTACATTTTACATCATTATTACAATTTTTAAGTTAAGGCTTTCTAATAAACCAAAATTATGCCTGAAATTCATAGCACTGCCAGGAATTAGGTTAGGTTTTTGTATGCAGTTTAGGTCTTTTATGCACGAGACGTGCAATTTGGAATACCTCAAATTCAATCATCTGTGTTTATCTTACGTATTTAGAGATAGCCAGGACTCCCCGACAGCAGCGTGTGCATTGGCGTGGTTTTAGGTCGGTTCGAGTCCGACATAACCACCGGTGGGTAGTATCCGAGGGGATTTCCGCACAGAAAAAAAAGGACTCCTCGACAACAGTCAATTAGAATTCCAGGTATGGTTATCGGCCGATCGCTTTAAATTATTGTGTTAGGTACACAATTACCCCAGGACAACACAATACTTTAAAATTGCACATCCTATGTTTACAAGTTTCTTAAAAATGCGTCCCAAAAATTCTCATCACATGTTATTTTTATATAACAACTAGATTTTACTAGATGATCCGTGAACTATGTATCACCTACATCTACGAGGGCGGGTCAATAAGTCCGTGACTTTTGGAATAAAACACAGATTTTTTGATAAATAAATCATTTTATTTTTCAACGTAGTCTCCCTTGAGCTCTATACACTTTGTCCAACGCTTCTCCAATTTTTTTATCCCTTCCAAAAAATATGATTTGTCGAGGTCCTCAAAGGCCTTTGTTTGCGAGATGACTTCATCATTGGAGTCAAATCTTTTTCCACCAAGCCATTTCTTCAGGTTTGGGAACAAGAAGAGCCAAATCTGGAGAATAGGGCGGAGGAGGGAGCAATGCATAGCCCAATACATGGATTTTTGCCATGGCAACTGCACATGTGTGCACCCTTGCATTGTCTTGGTGGAAAAGAACTTTTTTCTTGACCAAATGAGGTCGGTTTTTTTTTCAAATCGTCATTGAATCGGTCCAATAAGTTGGCATAATATTCCCCATTGATTGTTCTTCCCTTTTGAAGGTAGTCAATGTGGATTATCCCGCGTGCATCCCAAAAGACAGTCGCCATAACTTTATTGGCTGACAAACCCACCTTGGCCTTCTTTGGCGCCGATTCACCCTTAGAAACCCACTGTTTTGACTGTTGTTTGGTCTCTGATGTGTTGTGATGGATCCATGTTTCGTCCACGGTTACAAAACGGCGCAAAAACTCCTCCATATTGCGATTAAACAACGCCAAACCTTCCTGTGAAGTTGTTACACGATTGCTTTTGTGGTCGACTGTGAGCAATCGCTGCACCCATCTTGCGGAAAGCTTTCTCATGCCCAAGTGATCATTCAAAATTGAAACCACTGAGTCATGCGAGATCCCTACGGCTTCCACAATCTCTTGCACTTTCAATCTTCGGTCGGCCAACACCATATCGTGAATTTTTTCGATTGTTTCGGGTGAAGAGACCTCAACTGGGCGTCCAGGACGTTCGGCATCTTCAGTGCTTGTACGGCCACAACGAAAATCAGTAAACCACTTTTTTACCATTGAAATCGATGGTGCAGAGTCGCCATAGTATTTATCAAGCTTAGCCTTTATCTCGGTAATGGTTTTTTTTCGCAAAAAATAATGCTTAATGAGCACACGAAAGTCACTTTTTTCCATTTTTTCCTCAAATTACTGGGTAGTCTGATAAAGATAGCTGTCAAACACAAACTAACTGACGCAGCAAGTTCAAATTTTGACAGGAGTCAACTGACAGATGCCTGTTGACAGGAGTAGTGTTGCTTTTTCAGTAAAGAGGTCAGAAATTCAAAAAGTCACGGACTTATTGACCCGCCCTCGTATTTATCTATGTACTCAAAATATAAATATTTGTCAATCAAGAAATACGTGGATCTTTTGTCGTAATAACAATATTTTGCATTTTTAAATCTAAATTCGCGGAAATCTGAATTTAAGGGGACCCGAATGATCGTACTGAGAAGCGACCGAACGAACATCAAATGTTTGCCAGCCAGGAAAAATTTGAATGAGAAGATGAAATGGTTTTTAACACTATTTTATAGCAATTTTTTGAAAAATATTGCATGATCAAAATTAGTCTAATCAGTCCAGCCGTTCTCGAGCAAATAGCAATCCATTTTTAATTACATATGGGTATATAGATTTATACTAAGCATAGCTTGTACTACAGGTTCAAGAACACGAATTAACATACTTACCTACCTACGAGTACATACCGATGCAAATAGGCAGTCATACATTCATATATTTGCACAAAATGATAAAGGAAATTAGGTGCCCTGATATTACAGAGAATGCAGTACCCATAGAGATTTAAGCATAGAGTGAACAAGAGCCTAAATCTTGCAATATAGGCAACGAGAGAGATGGGTAAACGATAGTTCCATCTATCTCTTTCTAGTCGAGCTCTGTTGTTGGCCGGGAAAATTTCTAATCTCCCGCCTGTTCTACGATCAAAACCATGCTTACTCCACGGTATCCAATCGCAGCTTAGCCAAAAAGAGACAGAGGAAACTATCGGGCATCCATCTCTCTCGTTGCCTGTATCACTTCCAGTTACAGGCAACTGTACCCCGTGTTCTCTTTATGCTTATATCTCTATATATATCTAGATAATAAAACAATCGATAAAATAAGAGACATATAGACATGGCATTATTTTTTAATTATAAAAGTATTAATAGTACCTAAACTCGCAAACAACTTATAAACAAAGTATGTATAATTTTAATAATAATGTAAATACAGAAGTTCATAAACGGTTGACGAATGTATTCAAAATCAATGTGTTATTAGTTCAGTTAGTTTCAGGCTTTCAATCCAATTTAAAACTTTTAGGACTGACCTTTCCTGCCAGCCATATCTTACCAAGTGTTTCGTACATTTCTTTCTTATTTTCTTCTAGATTATGATGTAATCTTCACTACCAAGTAGATGTGTTACATTATACTTATTCTTGAATGGATATTTTAAACATCTAACGGAAATCATAAAACATGTCAAATGTGTTTAAAATGGATGGTAGGTATTCTGTACCTAACATCTATTTACAGGACGTAATCACGAACGTTCCATTAGCTTTGCCTTTGTGTAGTAAGTGTCTGAACGAGAAGATGACTCTCGTTATAGTGGCCTATTGTGTCCCCTATGAGTAGCGTGTACAGTTACAGGATGAATATGCGAATTTAGGTCCTGCGTTTTATGTGAATACCGAAAATTATCGTTTTTTTTTATGTTCTACAACGCTCTAAACACATCACACTTTCATTTGTTTAACATAATACTATTTATCCGTTATTCATGTTTATTAAGTTAGATACCAACAATAAAAGTCCTAGCCCTGTTACTGACGGATTATACAAATGTATAGAATATACTATAGAACTGTAATCGAGAAAAGTGCTTTTACTGCAACGGTATTAAAGGCACGGAATTAGAAACAGCCTTAATTCGGCCCTAGTGAGGTAAAATGCTTGAACATGTTTAATGTAATGTAATTAATAGGAGCTGACGCCGCCATCACTGCTGTCGCGCCTCATCTTTACAGCAAATGTACTTATTGTAAGAAGGGCCTGTTTAGCTAAGCAGACTCAGACGTCAGAACAGCAGAGCCGGAGTATGATTTATAGTGTGGAATTAGTATTGGCAATTCCTTACCAGTCAAAAGCTGATGCATTTTTCCTACTAACTATAAAAGTACCTACTCAATAAAAGAAATCTATAATCATTAATATGTATATACTTAATATGTATTGGCAACGAAAGGTATTTTTATAAAAAAAAAAAACAGCCATGTTCTTGTAATCAGTACGTCCCTGTATTCCACACTGCGCATGTCGCGAATTTATCGACAGGAGCAATGGTTTTCTCTCCAGCTTGAGCTCAGCTAAACGACACTCGCTCCCTGCGTGCGGCCACATCAGTCGCCATTAGTGTTTCTCTTGTTCATTTTCATATTAAGCCCAAATTAATCATCCATACGTTTTGATATTCAGTAAAAATGTTACTAATAACTTCGACCGCACTGTTTGCGGTTTTTTTAATATGCGAAGCTGTACCGACACCTTCGAATAATAAAGGTATGTACATAATATATTGATAGTTATTGTAGACTATTTAGAAGATTTTAGGTGGGGAGATTGATTACGTAATCGGTGTTTTAATCGCAAAGGTATTCTGGTTTTGTTTGTATTATGCATGGGGTATCGATCAGCCGGCAGCACTAAAAAGCTCTATATGTAGCAACAGGGCAACAGGTGTCGTTGTTTCGCGTGCGCCGAATTTTCCCACGGCGCAGTTCAGCCTTTCTTTATGTACTGTGACCTTTTGGACACAAGAGTTTATAAATAGATTCTTACTGTTACTGAACCTTCTTGATAGCAAGTTAATAAATGTATTGATCGGACGTTACAGTTGTCATGTGTGCTGTATTCTTATTAATATTGCCTGTAGTATGGAAATAATATTCTAGTCATTTGTAATCCTTTCACTATTAATAGTCTTAAATACAACTGTAACTAAGCCTGGATTTATTAGAAGTGTACTCATTAGTGAATGGAATTTTAAACTACGTCATATTGATCTGAACCGGACCTCTTAGACATTAAAAAATTCTTTGTCTAACTTAGACACTTATCTTCTACACTAAATAATATATTATATGATTATTTCTACCTAGATAAATAAATATATTATATTTATTAATAAATCATAACAACAACATGTTATTTGGACTCTCTCATGTTTAAATTTATATTCAACTTTTAATGGGACCTCTACATTAAAATTAGAAAACAAAAACCATCAAGCAGTTAAATTTTACATCATCCAGGAATAAATTAAGTATCTTATAATTTAGGAATTTGATGTATTTCGGAACCCGATTGAAAAAGACTCTAATTATATTGTGAATACCTTCGGACACTGTACAGTCAAGGGTCATAAGTAATAAAATCTTCATATTCGCTCCTTCGTTCATATTCACCAATTTATTACTTACAGCATTTCATACAGCCTGTAAATTCATATTGTTTCAAATCTACCCGTAACTTTTAGTGACTACTACTTTGACGGTTAATTAGTTACCATAATCAAACGCATGTAGTCTGTGTATGAAATACATAAAATAGAAGAAAGTCTAAAATCTAACTAGTTATAACTTGATATGACAGCGACCGTACATACATTCAAAAATACTATTATACTTAGATAATGTAGTTAATAACAGACAATCAAACTGGAAAATCATAGGAGTTCCCAATGTCTGATTTGTAGATCAAGCAAAGGGCGCACGAAGGGCGACTGGTACGACTTTTGATACGTGTGCGCTGTGAACAAAAGTAATGATGCTGATAGTATTGTACAAAGATATTATGCCGCTTTGACATACAGAAAGAAAATACGTACCATAAAAAACTACTTTTTCAAAAAATAAATTATCGATTAACGTTATGATTTCGAAGCTTTTTTTGCCGTATAAAAAGATTCCGTTAAGATTAATTCGACAGGATAGTAAGGGGCAATGTGAGCCTCGTTAGCATCACTCACTCGAAGAAAAGCAACAAAAGAATTACTTACCACCGGTTTTCAGTGAGGACCAGGTATCACTCCGGTCGAGCTGGCCCATTTGTGCCGAAGCTTGGCTCTCCTACTGAAGAATGTTTTTTTTTTCAACGTATCAGTTCGTATTTATCTCCCCATAATGGGTCTTACCTCTAAATTCATGCCAGGATTAAGTCGCCCCATAATTTCTCGAAAACTATCCCAAAATGGGATATTTGGAAATCCTGCGACGCGTCTTGAGTGATTCAAATTATACATGCTTATGTTGCAATTAATAGATGTTACTATTATGACATAATAAAAATATGTTAGACATGCAAATTATGACAATGTTTCCTTTTCGTTTCTGTATTTGCCTCCAGTGTGCGATGCACGCTTTGCACACCCGTACCCGGCAGCCCTGGTAAGGGGCCATCGGGCCATAAGGGGGTTGACCAACTGTGGCATTGTATGACAAGGGGTGGGAGGGGTCACAATGCCACATATTAAAACCGAATACTTATAAGACAAGGACGCGAGGGTCAAAAACCCACGTAATTCGTATGACGTAATTAATGGATGGAACCTTAATATTTACACAAACAAAAAGATTCTCACCACCTATCGAAGTTTCTAATAACTATATGTTTAGCTTGTAACACTCCTAGGAAGTTAACCCGTTGCGCGTTGGCTTGGAAAATCTCAACCCTAACAAAAAAAGCAACGCAAATTAATCCCTCAATCGTAAAATAATTTTTACAGAATGTTTGCCCTTTGAGGACTTATACTCTCAAACTACGTTCGCTATTCTTTCCAAAGACATTTTAAGATTTTATTTAGTTTGACTCTGGGTTATTCGAAGACTCCATGCCGACAATTAAGGTTTGAGTTCGGCTTCGAAGTTATTTTTATGAATTCAAAAATCATAAGACAAAGTTATCCCTAATAAATTATTGAACATAGCATTCCTGGGAACCTGGCAGCCCTTAACCGACAAGTTGAAACATTTGACAAACACTATATTTTTTATTATTATTTATTATTATTCTATTATCATTATAATATGTGATTTTATTACGTATTTTAGATGGCGGTGGAGCTATCGGTGAGTTGCCAGAGAACTGGGATCAAACTAAAGATGACACCCAATCTCTTTTCTTAAACAAGAGCGATAAAAATGACTTAGAACCTTATCCCTTGGCTCTTAGTGAGGAAGGTAATATGGAAACAGGTAATGTCAATTAGTTAAATAACTTATTCGATCCAAATCCCTATGTTACGTATTTTCATTTAGAACAAATACACACTGATACACTAACAAAGCTCCCTTGATTCTCTATTTGCATCCTGGCCACGCGTTTTCTACCCACTCTGATAAAGATTGATGTCGAATCTCATTTAAGAACTTTTGTCAAACAATATAATATTTAAAAAACTATAATTAAAATATGCTTTGTGGTGCGTGGGGTGCTTTTCCAGATATTTTATAACATAATAACTTTACTTTTACCAAGATATGTCAATAAAATATTTAAAAAAAAATTGAGATCATTCTAGCAACCCACGCATTTTTACGATAACATGATTTTTCTTTTTGAACATTTAGGAAATTATTTCTATTTTTAAAAGCAAGTTTTTAGTTTTTTAAACTAAAATTTATTTTTGCTTTTATAGTCATTCATAATTGATTATTTTCTCATCAAGACTAAAAAGTAACAAGTAAGTAAGTCACGTAATTATGCTTCAGCACACACCTCTTAGTACGTATAAAAGACAGTACCGTACTTTTATGTATGGAAAAAGCCATTAATCCCGAAGATCCTGATCAGGATAGGCGGCCAAATTTATCTTATTATTGTACTGTCATCAGTCCTTGATAAGTGTACGAAGTTTCAATGTAGTTTGACGTTTTGAAGTGGGTCAAAATCACGCTCGAAGATTCCGTTTAATAGGTACAAAGATACATACATTCATACATAAATACATACCAATCTAATAAAAGCGTGTTAAAATAGAGTTAGATATAAACGATTTACTATCGTCTTGTACCAAAAGATCCGAAAGAATTTTATTCATCTATCATGCTGATACACTAGACTGGGTTTGTCCGGCAATTTAAACTCTGAGTGTAATTTATTTATTACTTGTATAAATATTATAAGAGGCTATGAAAGATAGAAATAAGTAATATGTAAAAGAAGATAAAGATAATTATAATAGGTAGTCTTAACTGGTATGTACTTCTGTGATTATTGTACTATTTATAGGAAACTCGGAAGGCTATGAACAAGGAGTAGATCAGAGATTCGATTCACCTCAGCCTAATGGAGAACTAAACAATTTTATAATGCGGCCTGAATTATACGGCGAACCTCCAGCAATGGAGAGTTTGGCCTCGGGCTATGAGTCACGGAGACGTAAACGAGGAAGCGGCACAAAAGTTGGCGGCGCAGGCGCTGCAACTAAAGTAGCCACAAAATCTGGTTCGGGCAAGAAAAATCTAAAGTAAGTTGATTGGTTATCCCCACTAATACAGATGATTGTATATTATAAAACTTTATACCAACATCGATCTATTTTTTTCAGACCAGAAGAGCACGATAGCCTTTCGCCAGTAGATTCGATGACTCACGAACACGACGCACATCGCCGCAAGCGCGGTAGTGGTACTAAAGTAGGCGGTGCGGCCGCTTCTGCCAAAACTGCCACCAAAAATACCGGCGGCAATAAAAAGAATTTCAGGTCAAAATAAACTCCATCATTAATTATAATGTAATTCATAAAATATGATTACTAAATAATGTCATTTATATTTAGGCCCGTCTCAGAACGTCGCAAACGAGATTCTGGTCTGAGCGCTGCTGATGTCCGAGCTCTGCTAAATTTGTGGGAGGCGCAGGAACGCAAGAAACAGGAATGGAACGCAAACCAATGGGCGGCAGATCGTTACTATGGACGTGTCAACACTGAAGACGATCAACCCGAAGTTGATGAGAATGGTGACATATGGTATAAAGAACCTGTTGTAACCGCTCCCCGTGAACAAGAATATCCTCACCACTCGTATTTCTCAGAACAAAAGCATATGGGTTTGGCCAGAGGCTATCCGGAAATGTATCCTGTAGGACCCGCTGAGTTAGCACAAAGATACGAAGAGGCTCGACGCAAGAGGCAATACGCTAATAAGATGAAGCGATTCATGGTTGCGAGGAAACGCTCTGATGGAGTGATGCACCAGAATACATATCGGCCTCGTGATGACCTTTACACACTCGCTGAATTACTGCGCTCTGCACCTCGAGTGCAAGAACAAGATATCCCCGTGTATCGACGACTGATACTTTAAGCGGTGTCTTGAATGAGGTGTCCATTCGCTGTAACTTGAGATTCACGTACCATCTTAATCTTTTCTTGACAAGTCTATAGACCTAACAGGATATAGACGTTTGTCTGTCGGATGGATACTCAAATAGGCTTTGATTTGGGGCGGGAGATTGTCGTGCATTTAATTCGCAGTTTGTAGCGGATACCTAAAAACATTAAATATAAGAACAGATAGTATTTAAACGTTCGTTAACATAACCCTTTGTTTTTTTTTTCATTCTATTTATGGTATTTAACAATGGCCTAAATATATATTTTCCCTATTTGTCTTCTGAAGTTCAGGTAGTTTTCTTTTTGTAGACTTTCCTCTCTACCTCAGTTTATGGCACATTCTCCTTGTTATTATAATCGACTTTTAAATAGATAGGAGTCTAGTTTTCATTAAACCTACATTGATAGTTCACATTGAAGTCAAACTTCATATTTTAATTAATGTCTACAGTTAGATACTATATGTAAATGATAAATTGGATGTATTAAATTAGTAATTATCTTAATCCAGTGTTTTATTATGTTCACCAAACCAGCTTCTGAAAACAACAAATAGTCCAACCTACAGCTCTGGCGGCAAAAGTTCGTTATCGTCCATCCAACGGTTCAGAGAACTAGATACATTTCACGCTTTTCGAGTTAGAAGGTTTAATCGGGCGAATAAAAAACTCAAGGTAGAATTCGTTATTCTGTAACCTGACTTTCTTTCCGGGATAAGGTAGACTTTCTTACTGTCATAAAAAAATTGGTGACCAAAACTTAACATAATGACTTCGATCTGACATCGTTCATTGTACCTAATTCCCGGGTCAAAATAGCGTAAATGTAGAAGATAGAATCAACTTATCATCGTCTGTCCATTGAATAACAACTAACAACTAACATTTTCAACTTTTAGGTACAATAAGATGGCATCACAATCAGTGACAGTATGGTCATGCCTACTTTATAGTAACCTTTTTACTGAAAATAAACCATACTGATACACATTTTTTTTCGGTAAATTGTCATAAGTTATTATGAAGGAAAAATCCAGCAAATATCATAATTTAATTTAACGTATTGTACCTAATTTAAGTGAAACTGGATACTAGTATGTTAATATGAATGAGGATAGTACAAGCTTACATTGTAAGACAGCCACGGATCCAAAGTACGCCCTAGCAAGCAATAGATTTCATCAAATCCAAAGAGATGAACCGGCGGATTCACGGTCAACGTATGATTCGCTTTTTTGTTCCTGTATTTATAGCAGACATTTTGCCACGCGACTAGCAAATGACTTATTCTTGTCGTTAATGCGCTACTGGTTTCCTGATCATGTACCGCTGCCTTACCATCTCATGGATTTATTACGCACTCATGAACGACTTCGTCTTGAACACGACTTGCGCTCGTTCACTTATAGCAGGTACAGCTTTATAAAACGTTCTTGTTTTAAACCAACATCTGAAAGCTCAACGCAGACAATTTCATTAATTGCAGAGAATGAGGCAGCATCCTGTTCATAACTGTATTCATGGAGAAATTTCGAACATTTTTAAGTTAATTACTGTTTCTATTGAAGATGTGAGGTACATATACTAGAGAAATGCTGACAACCGTTTTTGACGAAACGGACTATTAATGTGCCGATGTTCTTTGCTATAAATTCAAGCTTTGTAAGATCTACTCGTTTTATAGATAACAAAATGTTTACTGGACCCGTGGAAAAATACAGTTGGGAAATAATATATATATATTTATATATGTACAACAATAAGTGAGTCAAATAGAATTTACAGATACTAGAACCAATAAATGTAAAATTGACAGTGAAACTATAATCGACTCTTTTTGAAATGAACACTGCATTACAATACTACCTATATATATCTGTAGTTATTTCTATCCACAAAACAAAGAGACTCGTAAAGTTTGTGGATGAAATTTTTGGTAAGGAAGTGTATGCCTAAAACTCACAAAAACAAACAAAACGTTTAAAAAAGATGTATTGCAATTATATTATTATATTGAGTACAGTTTTCCACATTCCTTTCAAATTTAAATAATTTAGTCACTTTCGCTTTAAAATGTCGGTTTAAAATTTGTACCTATTAGTTTTCTGAATAAAATTTGGCGCTTCCTCTTCTCTTATATTTTTTATTTATTTTTTTGTGGATTTTGCTTTTCGAGTTAAACAGCTGTTTCTGTTGTGCATTTCAAAGATTTATCTCAATTTGAAGTACTATTTGCGAATTTACTTTAGAATATTTCTAAAATACCATAATGTCCCTAAGTATACTACTACTAGGTATGTGTAGTTTACCTTATTAGTGTCTGTCCTACAGAGTTTGCTATAAGAAGAGACTCTTGATTTCATAGTAGGTAAATTACATCTTGCTCCTCCCAGACTCTTCTTTAACTTCGACATGATCTAAAAAAAACCATCTGCAAAATTGTTGTAACTATTTTGGTTGTTGTTGATACGTTGGTTTCTACTTCCATTAAGAAAGGGACCTGCCCTCTTTATACCTTTTTATAATTGATCGATTTTGATGAAGATGCGATTACAAAGAAAGACACAGAGAAAAAGAGCGGGTCTGTCTCACCAGATCGTTAGTTGAAATCGTCAACATTAACCAAAAACCAAAAAATTTGCTGCTTCCGTTGCCAGACAGGAGATTGCTAGCAAGTTTAGTAAATAAGTATTAGTCAAAGCATTGCCGTTTTCAATTCCTTCAATTTCATATTTCTGGCCCTATGTACCTGCGAAGACTAACTTGTCTTCTAATTGAATGTCTTTTAATCTTACAGGGCTTTCTGAAAACTCGTTAGACGTCGAAATACCATCCTTTCCGGGATCGCCAAGATCTGTAGGATCCTTACAACTCACGCCACTTGATAATATAGATAATGTGGTTCATTTTTTGCATCATGATGATGAACTTCTGATAGCAGCCGAAACAGGAGACGTAGAACGGATTGATCAACTCATTGAGTAAATCTTTTTGAACAGTCTTAGTAGTGTATAATTTGATTATGTTCCCAATCGGTTTCTTGCTACAGTAACGTGTCAGTTACAGAGTAGGTTAAGTGTGTGCCGAAAATTGTAACTGAGAAGTATGGATAGATACACTTTAGGTACAATAATGACACATTGAACTTCAGTTCCTACAATACAAACCTAATATTTCAATATTCCTATCGAGTGGCAGCTGAGTCAAGCATTTGCCTGACTCAGCTGGCACTCGTTTCGATGGGTATGTAGTTTCCAGCTTGTCCTGTCTTCTCCTAAATAGTAAAATCCTAATATTTTAAGACAGATCGATAATCGTATTTGGTAATCCAATCATATGTATGTCAGTCTTATATGCAATGGGGGGCAAAGAAGCAGACCCGTCACCTCTGTACTTCGCAACCCTGAGACATTAGTGCGTTGCCACCCTTCAAGTTGGCCTCCGGTATCCTCACGACGTGAAAAGCAACGTAAGAACTGCCTAACAAGGGTTGTCTGTGAGGCTGTGGCATCACTCCAGTGGAGCCGGCCCATGTGTGCCATGGAATTGCTCTCCTACGGAGACAAAAAGGGAATACCTTTATAATTGGAATGGCACAGGCACACTAAGAAATATCCAATCAATATCGTGAGAATTTCAGTGACTTCGTCTAATAGTAACGAATAATGGTGAACTGACAAGATAATCTAATAGCCTAATGTATACCTACTGTAGTCTACTTCAAAGTGTGCTCCGAGGTCTCGGTATCGTTGTAAACTAATTCAATGACTTATCCTATAAGGAAAGGAGTGAATATACAACAGAGGGATCACCTAGAGCGGAACGCCCTGCATTACGCTGTCTGTAGTGGCAACAGACAAGCGGTCCACCTGCTCTTGCAAGAGGGCATAGATCCTAACGTGAAGAGCAACGTGGGGATGACTCCGCTCTCACTTTGTCTTATGAGAAGGTTTTTGACATATTATTGTTATACTATCTTACTTTAAGATTTAAAACGGTATATAAAGTGTTAAATGCGTTCTGAAAATTACTAATTGCCTTCTTCATTGGTCAGTCAAACAAGGAGATATTTTAATGTGATGTATCATCACATGAAGCGCACTTTAATACTTATGGACCTCAAGCGACCAGTTATCGCTAAAATCGAAACATAATAAATTTAAATACTTAAATAACTTTCTTAAATTCGTCTAAAAGATCGTTTTACGAGAACTTCCCACACTAAGACTGTGTTATGATTTTTTTAAGTAGATAGGTAGTTAGGTTTAAAGAACTTTATTAATACTCAAGAATGTTACAGTCCACTTAATGAGCATAATATAAAAATAAACAAAGTAATAACATGGAACAGCGATCGTAGCTTTCTATCAATGACTCAAAAAAGTTAAGAAAAGAGATTGCATTGTCTTATCTACTCACACGAAATTATATTATGAACATATTATATTTGTAGGAAGTACGTTATGGTTCATCACTACAGTAAGCAAGGTCAAGGTCAGTTTAGATGTTCAACATCACGCTAATTCTTTATTATTAAAGTTCATGCATAAGTTACTTTAGTAAACGAGTTCATAGTTTCTGTAGTGGTATTAAAATGACAAAGCCGTTTTACTTTGAAATTTAAACCATTCAAAGTAAAACGGAGATACACATAAAAGCATAAGAGAGAGAACTAAAACCGAAAGTAACATTTAGAAAAAGTTAAGAATTAAAAGTATTTATTAAGTGATTTAAATACGTGAAGGCTAACACACTCTTAACGTCATACATGTGTAGTTATTCATACAATATGCTTTGTCACTAACATAGTGATCATCTTGAATTATTGACTACCTCGGTGGTGCAGTGCTAGCGTATGCGACTGTTGTGCTGAGGTCTCGGGTTCGATTCCTGAGTCGAACCAAATGTTTGTTTGATCTGCAAATATTTGTTTCAGAGTTTGGGTGTTTTCTATGTACGTATATTATGTATTTATTAAAAAAAGTAAATAAGTATTCTATCAATCAATCTAGCTTTTATAGTATAAGCTCTGCTCAGTTTGAAACTAGATGGCATTGTGTGTCAGATGTCCGAAAATATTATTATATTATTATTAATATTGAGGGAACACAACTATAAAAAAATACTTTTGTTCAAGTAATTCAGTTAACAGCCACCAAGACCGCGTGATGCTAGGAGGCACCACCCCTATCCCTACCGTGGGTGTCAAGACTAAGGGAGCAAACTATGCAATACAAAAACGCTGCAAAGAGAAGGAAAACTTGACTAAAACCCTATACCAACCTGTCAACACTCTACCTCAGTTGCATACCCCTAAGGCCTCTGGTGATCTTACTCACTTGCTGACTGAACAAAACTAACATAAGATTCTATATACTAGTTAGTGGTGTATTTGTTTGTATTTTTTTTAAATAGACTAGTTAAATAGAACGCCCAATATAATTTTAATTTCAGACCATCTTGGCGAATGGCAAACATGTTGTTTGATTACGGTGCTGTGCTTTTACCGAGAACCACAGCAATGGATACGGGTTTGTTCTTACGTAAGTAGTTTTTATCACATTAACTCAAAGTGGTTAAAAACTGACTGCTGTTAAATTATGAGTAAAAGTAAATCTCTCCGATTTTACCAAAGTTTAATAATTTTTATGATAATCTTAAATTCGCCCTTCCATAATAATACTGTAACAACATATATAGACAAGAGCGAGTCATTTATGTAATTAAATAACTACTGCTTTAAAGTTGTCCAAGAGACGTCTCTTATTTCCTAATTTAAAAAATATATCTATAAATTATCGCAACAACACAAACGCTTGTATATAGCCATCTTGTCGCGACTCTGGGTCCATCCAGATTGGGCAAAAGTCGCCCCAGTTTATACGCAGCGCCGACCAACTTTGGAGTAGGCTATCGCAAGTGCTTGTCATAGTGTCACCTAGGGAGAAAACAGATATCACTATCTTTTGTTGTGTTAGTTTCAGAATTCGAATATTCGGGATATCACTAGGTTCTAAATTAATGGTTTAAAATGCATTTGCAGAATTTGTGATGATGTGTGAACCAACTAAAGAAGATGAAAAAATATTACGCCTTCTCGTAGAAAAAGGCGCTAAGGTAAATGACCCAGAAGCTCCAGGAGGACGTCAAGCATTACATTTTGCTGCTATGAGTAACAATTGTCGCCTCATCAAAATACTACTTGACTTAGGAGCCAATGCATTACTCACTAATCACAGACATGAAACTCCAAGAGAAGTTGCCATTACATTTAAATGTAGAGACGCACAAAGGCTTCTAGGGGAGTTTGAAAGAACTCACAATGTAGCCTCCGTTTCGCAGGCTTAATTTTACTCTAGTAGACTTGTACGAATAAAGTATGTTGTAAGTTTTTGTTCATTGTGTTGCTTTATTTATTTTTAAAATAAAATATAAACATCAGAATTATTTCAAGGACTAAAAAAAAAGAATGACCTCCGTTAAAACAAACTGCGGAAGCTACGGATGTATTTGTCTGCACTGTACAAAATATACTAAAATAAGGAAATAAATTTAAATTTGCTCTTAAATTCCATACGCCTTGTTAAAATCATAAAAGTTACCCACCTGTTAATCCACCCTGTTAATCTGCTGCTGTTATAACTCCGATATACTCGGAATCACTTCAAATAAATTATTTTAGTTATTTGCCACCTTCATAGACTAAATATTGAACATAACAATTATAATCTAGAAATGTCTATTACTATTTTTAATAATGTGTTCCCCAGTAATTCAGAGCTGTTACCAAAAGTGCGATAAGTATTTTACTTGTTTGCCACTTTAGTATTTAAAAAATTCACGTAATCATTCGGAAATAGATACATTATACAATAATTACATTATACTATTCTGGATTAAATGAATTGATTTTTATTACTACCTACTTGTTTGTAGCCTAATAATTCAAGCAAACAGGATCTATTTAAAAATATTTTTTTGCTCAGTACGTTTTTTTGCGGGTGTACCTGGTCTGCGCAACATTCGGTTTGCAGCCAACTTCATACATACACGAAAACTTGTGTGGCGTGTATTGTAAGCGTGAAAACCCACTATAAAATTAGTAAACAACCCATAAATATGCTGCAGAAAAGGAAAAATCCTTAATATAATGAGACTGAAATTAAATTTTCACGCTTATCACTTTCAATAAATTTTCTTTGACTGCTATATTAACAATTTTGAAATAAAAAGAAAAATAATTAATTGTTATTAATTTAAAATTTTGATTTTGATTAGTATTTTTTTGTTTATAAATTGGAGTTTTTAGATTAGTTTTTTTTTATGCTCCCCTCTATCTAAATGTGACATTCTGACATTTGTTCTTTAGTTTCAAAGATGGCTGCCTTGTCGCAGTTGCTATTCTCTGCCAAACAAAACTAAGAAAATTAGAAAAATCAACTATTCATACATTTTTATAAAGAAAATTAGATAGCTCCTATTAAATTACTTTAATTTGACGCACTTAATCTTTTTGATAATGTGATGTTAAGTGTACCCATGGCTTCCAATGTTCAAGACTCGCCTGTACAGCAGACATTTGTAGAGGAGATAGATTACAATGAAATTCAGGAATTATCGGTAAATATCTGACCTCAGCGTTTAGTAAATTGGTGTAATATGTAAACTGGTGATTGAAAATGACGTGGTACTTAAAAGCTGTTTGTGTCACCAGGTGGTGGGTAAAGGTGCCTTCGGTGTAGTGTGGAAGGGTGTTTGGCGAGACAAATATGTAGCTATAAAACACATAAATTCTGAGGCTGAGAAGCGAGAGTTCTCGATAGAAGTGCGTCAGCTGTCGCGCGTGTCACATCAGAACATCGTGCGGTTGTATGGAGCATGTACAAAGGGCGCCCACGTTTGCCTTGTAATGGAATATGCAGAAGGAGGATCACTGTACAATGTGCTGCACAATCGTCCCAAACCAAAATACACAGCGGCTCATGCTATGAGTTGGGCCCGACAGTGTGCCGAGGTTTTAAATTCTTAATATGTTATATGTACCCATAAGCATCACTTATGACTTAAATTATTTCATAAATAATAAAAGCTCACGCTTGAATTGGAGTAGCTACTTACTTAGGTATTTATATTGCTATTAAAGCAAATAAGAAAAAAGCTGACTTGTTAATAAACAGTTATGAAAATAGAAAGTTGTTACTAACAATTTTTTTCTGTTTTGAATTTAAATATCTGAAATAGTATATGTAACCGTAACCACAATATTTATTATGTTATTTATTAATTCAACATTACAGGGAGTAGCATACCTTCATGCTATGAAGCCAAAGCCATTAATACACAGAGATTTAAAACCACCCAATTTGTTATTAGTGGGCGGTGGCATAAGGCTGAAGATATGTGATTTTGGTACTGCAGCTGACAAAGCCACATATATGACTAACAATAAGGGCAGTGCTGCATGGATGGCACCTGAGGTTAGTATTGTTTTATTTTTATCACAATTATTTTTTTAAGAAAAAGTGAAAAGTTTTTCACAAATAAATGATGACAAAATAATAGTGTTATAAGAATGTTGATTTATAACATTCACCAACTTTAGTATACAGGTAGCATTGTAGCCTAAAATTTGTATCTTCTCTTCTTCTTGTTCTAAAAAAAATAAGAAGAAAAATAATTGATTTTCTAGGTTAAAAGAAAACATTTTTGTGACTTGGTTATGATATCTTTGCATGATATTTTATATGATTGTGATAAAAAAATAATGAATAAGAAATAAAAAAATTAATGAATATTACTTAATATTGAACTTAGTGACGTAAGTAAATACACAGTATTGCAAACTGCTCTTATACATAGCAAGTAAGTATTTCTTGTACTTCTCTGTTTACCTTGAAACTACTTTCACCAAAGAACCCAACAGGTTCTTTGGTTCTGAAATCCCCATTCAGAGCAAAAACTTAGACCAGTAAAGTACGGGCACTGGGATTCTTTAAGGTTAAAAAAATAATTAAATAAACTTTTGTATTTACTCATCATCCTATAGCCGGTACTGCACAGCCGCATGCTTATGGCTCGCAAATGTTTTACAAGAGTATTAAAAGTCTGTTTTGTAGTTAAATTTTAGTTTATTACAAGACTTACACTTATTGATTATTACAATAATCTTTTTTTGTTTAATACAAGACTAACATTTTTGATTCTGTAACTTTTGTGTTACAGGTGTTTGAAGGATCCACATACACAGAGAAATGTGATGTGTTCTCTTGGGGCATTATTTTATGGGAGGTACTCTCGCGACGGAAACCCTTTGAGGAAGGTGGATCGGCATTTAGAATAATGTGGGCTGTGCACACAGGTAATTAGACTATTATAAGAAGAAACCCATTACTTATAAAAATTATGGAGGTTATTTATGATGAAAATATAAGAATCAGGCGAGAATGTCGATCTTTGGAGTAGGCATGGAAAACAACATTCTTTTTCACTACTTTACTGGTGTGAGTACCATGTTTTGTGATGTGTACTTTCCACAATTGCTAAAAGATTAGGGTACATCTTAAAAAAAGCTTTGTTTAAGCCATGCTCATTTTTAAATTATACAGAGTTAAACAGTAGTTGCGGAGGGAAAAAAACCCATGACTCAATCTCAACCTTGCTGGTTGATTTCAATGATTTCAAAAGCTAATAATAAAGTAAAGAAATCCTAATTTACGAACAGACATCCACATAAGCAGAAATTAAAAAATATAATTTGCACTAAAGTGGGTAGGTTTAGTTATACTCTAGTTGTTTCACCTCTCTAGGAAAAAACCCTAGAAATTTTTTTCAAGTAATACTTCTAAAATTTCTACTAAAAAACGCCCAATTCATCTAATTTATCCTTGTTTTTTTTTTTGCAGTTAGTCATAATATTCTAGTGTACACTACAGATAATAAAATATCTTCAGAAAATGTTTGCCAATAACCACTTTGACATCCTCCATAATTTTATGCATAACAATAAACAATTTATGATTATTGATTAATGTTTTAGTTTTAAAATTACTTTAAACTACTTAAAAGGGTGGTTTGATTGTTAATTCCAGTAAATAATGATATCATAAAAATGATTCACAGCACCTACAGTTAATTATATATCATGCAATAGTTTCCATTAGTCAGTTGAGTTTAGAACATCTTTGAGATCTGACCTTTGTGGTTTTAAACTATTTAAATAAATCCTTGATAAGCTGTAAATTTAAAAAGGTTAGGGCAGTTCTTTATAATCATATTCAAAAGGTAAGATTATTTTTTCTAAATTATAACTTCATAAGCATGAGTAAAAAATTGAAATCGTAAATGTGGATTGTTCTATTTTAACAGCAATACTAGAATAAATACTAATAGGTAGTATTGATTCTCCTAACCCAATGGTTTTACAATGACTTTCAGTTTTTTAAGAATTTGTTTGTTATGACTTATTATATGATCATTAAAAATTGAAAGTTTTCAATATACTGATGTGATGTTACACCGAGAAAATAATTTCTTGGTCCATAAAAAGTAAATAATTGTTAGACTTGTCATTCAATTACTAAGCCAAAATTGGATATACCAAAAATAGTTCACTTTTGACTGTCTGCTCAGCTAGCTTGATGGTTAGATTCATATCCAGGACAAATAATTGTTCTATGCCTGGGTATGATTTATAATACATAGTTTTAAAATTAAATTATATTAATAATATTAATATTTTGGACACCTAACACACGAGCCAAGTTTCAAACTAAGCAGAGCTTGTACTATGAAAGCTAGATTGACTGATAGAATACTTATATACTTTTGTTTTGTAAATACATACATACTATACATAGAAAACGCCCATACTCCGAAACAAACATTTGTAGATCTTACAAATAAATATTTGTAAGATCTACAAATGTTTGTTTTCCTTTTTTGAAAATAATCAATTAAAATAACTCCATGACTATCCCAAAAAATCACCCATCTGTTTTTATTATAAGTTGAGATTCTTCCTTCTATATTTGCACCCATCTTAATATTTTTCACTATCACAATAGAAGTGGTTACTATAAGTTACCCTACATGTAGTTTCTGCCCTATCAATGCCATAGGAGGATGAAATCCTAGTATAACACTCCAATTGTAATCCCAAAAGAGAAATATAGTATACACCTGTTTACCTAATGCCAATGTGATTTATATTTAAAAGCCTGCCTTGTCATTCTCCTGTAGTAAATCAACAAAAAAGTTGCTGTATGTATTACAATAATAATAAATACATTTTTATGTTCTAGGTCAAAGACCAAATCTGATTGAAGATTGTCCAGTGCCTATAGAACAATTGTTGACACAATGTTGGCACAAAGTTCCTGCAGAGAGACCCAGCATGGCCAAGGTAGGCTTCAACCCAAATATAAATGATGAGTATCACCTAACACTTGCCAATACTAAAGGTTAAGCTATTATAGACTGCTTAGTCACTGCACAGCTAATTTTATTTGTATTTATAAATGTTCAGGTGTGTGTATTTTGAGAATTATCTCGGTAGGGATAGTTGTTTTTATGAGTGTGGAACCCACCACTCTTATTTGCTTCATTCATCACAACAAACATCATTTTTGTTGCTTATAATAATTTGTAACCGGCACTTGTAATGTCAAACCTAACACGAGTTAAAAAAAATTAGTTGTGATTTGTATCTTTGAAACCAAGATCTATTTTAGACAATACCATATACATATTATACATATATAATATATACAGGAATTTACGTACGTAAATTAATATAAAAACAACTGTCTTTTTTAATTTGTATAAGCGGTCGCCACGCCGCTTACTACTACGCCGAATGTTGTGGGTCCGATCCCCACATAGGACGACACTTTGTGTGATCCACAAATTGTTGTTCTGAGTATGGGTGTTCTTTGTGTCTGTTTCATGTATGTTTGTAAAGTCCCCCGAGACAGGGTATATTCCTAATGGAGAGTTGTCTTTTTCAAAAAGAAAGAAAGAAGTGTGACACCAACATCCTCTTTCTTTTCCTACCGATTTTATCACACTTTTTTTTTTTATTTATTTATTAATCAACTTTTTTACAATAGTTACCTTTATACTAAACTCGCCAAACTTTGACGTTTAATGGCGAGATGCGCCCTTTTTTATAAAAATAACACTAAATTAATACTAGTTCCAAAAATGTACAAAATTAATTAATTATAATTATTAATTTATTATTAATTATTAATTAATTATATTATATTCTTAAATACTACGCCGCCACAATGACAGACAGCATGTCCGTCCTGAAGGCACTAGATGACCTCTGGTATTGTCTTCGAATGCCATCAAGCATTGGAGCAGCTTGCCACAGTAAATGGGGTACTACTCCAATGGATTAAAAGGCATAGTAATTCACACGGAAACGACGCCACAGATAAGTTGGCAATGATGGGACGCAGTGGTCTCTTTCTGTGAAGTTGTAATGCTGAAATAACATGGTCAGGGTCCTCCCAGAGTACCTGAGGCCGGCTGTCGTCGTGGTTTTAGTGGAATCACCACATACTCCTGGCTCTCGAGTCCCCGAGGAGCAGGAGATCGGAAGGGATTTTCCACCCCGTCAACAAAAAAAAAGTTATAGACGGTATAAGGGCCAGTATTATCTAGTCTAACCGCCGTAAGCTAGGCCCTCCTGATGGTTTGAGGGACGCGGGGCGGGTGATGCGCTCGGCTATACACAACACGATGTACTAACTCGATATCTTCAGATTTATTTTTTTGAGATTTTATCTACACACGATGTAATAAAAATCGAATTTATTTTCATGTATTATAATTTCAGTATATTGTAAGTTTTAATGATCAATTATAAAATTTTAATACTTGTATAATAATTTTAATAAAACCACCTTATCTTTATCGTGTAAATTATATTCCGATACAATTTAATAATGAAGTAAAATAATAAATATTTAGAACCTTTATAAGCCGTACTTCAAGGGAGACGCCAAATAATTCGAGTTAGAGTTTTAGACTTACGGAGGCTTTCGACTTAGGTGGATTTTGAAAGTGGAGACGGGGAAACGATTATTAAAAAAATAATCCAAATGTTCTTGAACCTTTTTGCGACGCAGAGTGGGCAGATTATCCATGTTGCAAAATAATACCGTGTGTAGTAGTCTTAAGAAAAACAACACGTACAGACATGCTTTCACGTCAGTCACTGCCGGCGGACAGCGATACGCTAGCTAATTGGTTGAGCGTATCCCCGCCCCGCGTCCCAAAAACCATCTGGAGGGCCGAGCTTACGGCGGTTTGACTATAATTAATATGATTACCAATTACGAGTTTAAATATCCTAAGGATAATCTACAGTAACCATGTCTAAAATATTATTATTTACACACATTATTATAGTAGTATCTACATTGTCGCCGTGCGTAGCCGGGGCGAATCGCTAGTTGTGTATAAATACATCCTGCAATATAGTCTTATCATAACAATAAAATAATTACTCCACACTAATAAACTACCACATTAGTATCTACATTGCTTCCGTTCGAAGCCGGGGCGGGTCGCTAGTATAATATAAAAAGATATACTTTTTCGTATAATAATGTGTGCTGCGTCGTCATTATTGCTTAACTAAACTTCAGAAAAATCTTTGTATACAGATGTCTATGTCGCATAGTTTGCTCAATATTAAACACTTCAATTTCCATTTCTAAAACTAGATATATATCATAATAAAAGCCATCATCAAAAAAAGCAGTATTGGTTTATGAATTATAAATCTTTTATTTATATCGATAAATTATATAGTAAAGAATTTAAACCTACACTAAATATATTAAGTCAATCCTTTTCTGAATGAGTAACACAAACATATTGAACGACTTTGAGTTATTTTATGTTTTCCTAGAGGATGTAAGTATAATAATATGGAGTAATGTGTTGTAACCTAACATCTTTTGTCATATTCATATGTCAAAGGAGTTTTCACAAGTCCCAGAATGGCCACACCATCAACCATTGTCTTAACATGTATAATATAACCGTTTTATGTATTTCTTAGCTTTCATCTCGTATTGTTTTCAGGTAGTGGAAATAATGTCGGCTCTATGCGAATTCTTCCCAGGAGCAGACACGCCTATTAACTACGACGATTGTGAGGAAGACGTCACAGATTGTTCGGACGATGAGTACATGCCTTACGACACGCAAGATAGTCTCACTGACACCGCCGACCTGACCCAGGATATCCCGACACAAAACACCGACTACAGCGCCCCCAACACACTACTACTAAGAAACAAAACAGCCCAGTCACCCCGACCTCGCAGCTTCGTCGAAACTCAAGTGAGTAAGCTACAGAATTTAATGGCCGCCGAGGCGCATCCCAAAACTTCGGCATTACCTAAAGATGAACCAGATGTACATAACAGAATAGGACCGGTTCGAATTCCACAGCCATTTAAAAAGCCCGAAACGTTTGAAGCGGGAAAATCACTGGTCACCATCAACAGGACGTCGAGTTCACCCGTGCCCTTAGAGAGAGTGTATATGCCAAGTGAAGGCAGCACGCCCCAGGATTCCCTACGAGTCGTCAAGAGCCCTGTCATTTTTAGCGAGAGCTCATCACCTCGCAGACTGTCTCCCATAGCAAACTACAACATTGGCAATATGAACCCCAGGCATATAGACATAGAGCAGTACTGGAGTAGAGAGAACGGCAAACTATCGCCAGCTCTGAGTCCCTCGGTGACGAACAACTCAAATTCTGTGAGAAAGGAGGACTACAACCAGAACTATTGTGACAGACTGAGCGCAGCAAACAGCCCCTTGTCGCCAATGAAGGAATACAATGGAAATCTATCACAGAAACAGATTGATCCGAGATATCAAACACCATTACAAATAGAAGTTGATCCAGTAAGTCTAATAAACCGTATCTAGTTTTACCTTGTCCTGACTGTGACGTCGTGGTGTTGATTAGAGTAGGATATGTAACGAAGGGCAAATTAGCGTTATTTACTAACATATCTTATTTAAGTATTTGAGTTGCAAAAATTCAGTTATCACAGGTTTTATTTTTTATTTTCCAGAACACGTGGGATTTGATCGATGTTCCAATCAATTATGATGATTATTTGGAAGTAAGAAATACGGCCGGTTTCAATAAATACTATACAGTGGGTGAGTGCTGCATGTTGAGTTGTTTGTCCATGTGTGTACTTCCTACTTTATAATTCTACGGTTTTTTCATATAAATTTAGTCAAGATGGTGGTTTATAACAATAAATATTCAAATTCAATCAAATTGCTACTATAATTTCAAATAAAAGAATAATAGTAGGTGTTTATCATTATTTTAATTTTGTTATTGCTAATGATATCGCTCAACTCTTATGTGATGTCAGAACATTCACCGATTCTTTCTAAATACGAATCTCTTGTGTATATCCAATCTTCGATTTTTATGATCTAAAAATCTTTAAGATTGTTTTCATAGAAAAAAATGCCGTATGACTATAAATATTATTATGTTCAATAGTTTTTTTTTGCGAATTTGAATTCGAGCTTATGACAATAAATACCTATTCTTATTAATATCTATTAATGAAAACTTGGTATGGTTTAATAGATTTTTTTTATACCTTGTATAATAATATATACAAATTTTGCTTGTTACTCCACTAATAAAAATCGTGACATGTCAAAGTCAAAATATCTTTATATTGTAAAATTCTATTAAAATTATTTAAAATCCTCTCTTAAGTAATGACTGAATAGTAAATCTTAAGTAATGATAAACACATGCAATAGCAGCAAAATGATTTTTATCACTGCCAACAAACCTCAATAAAACTCCTTTTCTAACTAAATAGAATATTAGAACACAAGATCTTTTTTTTTATAAACTCCAGCAGTGTATTTATTATAATTATTCGCGTATATGAACGCAATAAAAAGCTTTCCTGAAATTTAAAATCAATTATAGCTTATCATTAATGATCACTGGGCAACTTGTGAAGGCATTCTTAAGCGCTACGATATTAATCTATGTGCTGCGTTTAACTGCAGAATAATATTCAGTGCGTTGGTATTTCCGAGATGTTTAAAATTAGTAACATATTTGGAGTGATTCATTGACCGCGTCTTACAACCTGATCTTTCTTTAAATAAACAATCTCATGAAACTATTAATGTTAAATATTTTATCGCTTCTACATAAAAATTCATACAAATGGTTCGCAATATTTTAAATGAAGTTAAGTAGTCTTTAGCGTGAGTCAATCAATGTATTCGGAACGAAAACAAATAAATTGTACAAAGTAGAGAATCATTGAAAGAGCTTTCAGATGTAACTAATAGAGAAAATAAAATCACCTCTTGGAATAATTACATATTTACAATGTGTCATAGTAGTTCATATATGCACTCTGATTGTTGGGAATGTGAGGGGTTTTACAAAGTAAAAGTAACGTTTCACACTCAAATTGCTGCCTTGAATCTTTATTGAATTGAATTGAATCTTTAATTCACCGATTAATATAAAATGTATTGATGCATTTACAAACTTTAAAGGAAACTATAAGTCTTAATAGCTATGCATTATACATATAATACATTCGCATATTTTAGGATTTCTTCTTCCAAAGATTATTTGGTGTGTAAAACTCTAGATATTTGGGTCTACCTGTACTAAATATTTACACAAAAACTTGAATGAAATGTTGTTTCACATGTGGAAAAAAGTGTTTAAAATTCATTCGTTAAATCTGATCATAGTCGTATTTCTTTCTAAATGTATTCGTAAAGTGTAAGTGAATGAGATTAGTATAGACGAAGTTGAATAGCAGTACGAAGTATGAGAATTGGCATAGCTGTTGGGCCTGATGGTATACCAGTTGAAGCATGGAAGTTACTGAAAGAGGACGGACATCAGTGGTTGACTTTGTTTTTCAATAAATTGCTGCATGAATAGGTTATCCCGAATGAATGGTGTCTAAATTCGCTTGTACCCAATTTTTTAAAACAAAAAGGATGTACAAGAATGCGGCAGCTATTGAGGAATAAAACTCATGTTACATAGTATGAGAGTCTGGGAAGAAGTATGTAATTGAGAGAAGAGAGAACAATTTATTTACTCGAAACCAATTTGGGTTTATGTCTGGTCGCGGTTCAACAGATGCCTGATTTGCAATACGCCCAATATGTGAGGTATACAGACTTGCATATGATGTTTGTAGATCTAGAATAGGCATACGATAGGGTACCCCGAGAGGTTTTCTAATGAGATTTGGCAAGAGAAAGAGTGCCTGCTAAGTATGTGCAATTGATTCGTGCCATGTACAGAGAGTCAAGCATTTATGTTAGGTCGGTCGCAGAAAACACCGAACAATTCGACGTTAGTTAGCCAACGAAGAAAACGAATGAGAGACGCCTCCATGCAGCTAAAACTCAAATATTGGTGATGATGTGTGGTGTGACTAGGATGAACAAGGTGAAAAACAGTGACAACATGAGAGGAAGCCTGAAAATACCACCTGTGGATGAGAGTTGAGAAGCAACAAGTTATCCTGTTAAAACATTGATACGTAGAGATGAGCAAAATGTAGCGAAGAAAGTTTTATGCACAGAACGAGCAAACGTGCATAAATCTCTGAAAACATTCGTACTCGCGTATTACGTTCGCCGGTAACGCAGCTTCATAAAATAAAATGCCGAGTTGCGCGATAATTGCGTGTCGAAAACAAAGCCAGGACTGGAATTTGTCCAAAGACAACATATCATATCATCGGTAGGTCTAAAAACTTTTGTTTTTAAGTAATATTTACAGAAAATCACAAAGTATTATGGAATACAAGATAAAAAAACCATTATGATGTAATCTATTAAAGTAATTATACATTGCGTATCTGAGTACTAACTACATTGTAACCACGAGAGCACGTAATGAACTGCATTTCGTGCAGGAATATTTCGATACATTTTGCACGAAGGTATTTAATAGTCACAGTTCATATTTTGGTTTGACGACCAAATGGCGTAGTGGTTTGTGTAACGGACTGCTATTCCAAAGGTCGCGGGTTCGATTCCCGCTCAAGTCAAGCATTTGTGTGCATGAACATTTAATGTTTGATTTGGTCTGGGTGTTTCTATGTATAATATGTATGCATTTACAAAAAAAAGTATATATGTATTCATATCAGTTGTCTAGTACCCATAGTACAAGCTCTGCTTAGTTTGGGACTAGATGGCGTTGTGTGAATGTGGTAGAATATTATTATTATTATTATATTTGGTTCCGATAGTGATGTAGCCAATCTTGTTTTAATTCATTCGACATTGCAATATTACAGTTATCGATGATTTTGGTTTTTAACTTTCTGTTTAGTACATTGTTTTTTTTTTGTATTACGACAACTGATAGTAGTAACATATTTAATGAAATAAGCTTGCCTTAAATAGGTGAATACCCATCATCAAATCCTTTATCCGACTTAATAAAATGCGTTATTGAAAAATACACAAATATTCAAATGCATTTTAATTTGATAAGTTACAATTTACACATAGACACAAAATTTACAATTATACAATAAATACATTTTATTTCAGGGTCAATAAATATCTTAAATACATTATATTTCAATCACAACATTTAATTCTCTTTTATAGTTATTGAATATACAGCATATTTTGTATACAAGAGTAGTATTATTTTACAATAAAATGTTCATGAATAGTATGTGTGACCTCAGAGTATCAACCGCCTCTATAACAATGCTGATCGCGTGAAACGGCTACCTTATTAAGGTATAAAAGGTTTGGTTGTATTTAGTAACATTAAAAGTAGCGTTAAGGACTCACAATCAACAAATCCCGTGGTCGAAGCGTAAACTTTTTAATGTGTGTAACATGTGTGTGTATTTTTTATCGTTTATGTGTGTGCGTCTAGGCGACAACGGAGCTCTTCTGATTTACCGTTGATCGCACTTCTAATGTTTATTCACTGTTCTGTGATTTTATGTTTGGATGTTGACGGATACAAGAGTAGAGGACGACCAAAGAAAAGATGGATGGACTGCGTGAAAGATAATATGGCTAGAAAGGGAGTGAGCAGTGAACTGACGAGTGAGAGTATAATGCAAGAACAAAACTCGTTGCGCCTACCCTAAATAAATTTGTGACTCCTGAGTTGCAAATGTTCATGGGCGGCGATAGTCACTTTCCATCAGGTGACCAGTCTGCTCATCTACCCCCTCTAACATAAAAAAAAATTGGGTAATGGGTAAAGGGTAATGATATTCGTAAAGTGTAGGTATATATGTCGACACCAGATCTTCAGATCACAACATCAATGTATCTGACCATTTCTTAAAATAGTCGTGTTCAATGAAAAGCCGGTCACGTCATGGTATGGTCTGTTTTGCGTTTGTCAATAGTGACCATATCTTAAATTAGTACAACATAAAATCTACAGTTAGAGGCGCTGATATCGTTTTATTTTTGGGGCAGCGAACAAATATTTATAAAAAACAAAATTTTAGCTCTAAAAGCGAATAATAATATTCAACTAGAAAAATATGTGACGTAAGTTGTCGCTACGACAACTTAAAAGACTTTTTACTTTAGAATACATAATCGCAATGATATGGCCGAACGCGAATTGATGATGAAGAGGAAACTGGCATAGAACTGCAATAACACATCTTAAAGGTCGTAAAAACCATAATGATAAACATAAATGATTGTTTAATTTTATAATATCACATTGTTCAGCACGATAGATAAGCTAGTGAGCTCGACAAGTATGTACATTCAATTGACGTAACGGTCGTTAGACATGAGCATATTCAGTAGCTACGTGAGCATAATAAATATTTAGATATCAGTAGGAGTTGTATCCTTCATTACATCTCTATCTACTTTGTACTGCATCTATAGAGGTAGGTATGTACGTTATTATTGAAAAAAAAATTGTTCAGTAGTTTGCGTGAAGGCGACGCGTTGCTAAATGTCAAGCACCAAAGTAATCCTCCAAGCTGTCTCAACAGATGTCGATAAACATCTTGAAATAAAAAAGAAAGCTCCAAAGTTGTTATTTATTGGCTACAAACCAGATGATTGCATGTATTAAGATACGAGATTGTCGTCTAAACTCGTACCAATGCATCATTGCGCATGAGTAACTGTTCTAAAATAGCTGGGTCCTGCCAGGACACGCTCGCGTTCTGACTCACCATAGCGTTTATTTATCATACACTGTTTCAAAACGGGCTGACTTATGTTTTTTAAATGTATTAATAAACAGAGAAAAATACTTTTTTTCCTTTCAATTTAGCATAAGTACTCATTGTAAACACCTGTTCTACGACTGCTTTCTTTCAGTTTATTTTTTCTCTATCGGTACGGTGCAGTGTGTGTTTTATTTACAAACATACTCTGTCTTCGTTATGATTATTATCTGCTTCCTTCTTATATTTAATTTTTCGATTAGTAACAATCATTGTTATCTTTTAATTCTTAGCCATGTCACTCTTTTAATCATGCACCTTAGTGAAGAGCAGTAAAGCACTATTACGTTATTAACGCTCTCTAACTGTAAGGTACTTCTGTAAGGTGGAGATACTTCCCACGTCAAATCATTTTTATCATATATCAAACAAACATTTGGTTCACCCAATAATACATTTTTATTGTAGAATATGGTAACAGAGGTGATGTCTATCTCCACTCCGCATGTCTAAATTCAGATTAAGATTCGATGATATTTATCTCGTTATACCAGCCATGATATTAAGTATTGCTCATGTTACTTCACTCATTTGTAATTACAGGGAATATAAATGTAAAATGTAATGTGCAATAACTTAAAAACAATGGTAGATTAAAATCACTTTGTGATCATGATTACTTGGCCGACAAGTTAGTCAGTCAAATCGAAAAAAAGATAACGTATTGATAAAAGGCACAGTATATTTCAGCGAACATGTAGATTTTATTTACAGTAGACCGAACAAGTTCCCTTATGTTAATTATAATGCGTAGTGTTAGGTGTTCCAAGAAACACTGCTTCAGGCGCGCCGCCATTTGACAACAAATACCGAGCACTCAAATATCAAGCGCTTAGTCACCGCATCCAACAGACATGTTACACTAGTTTTATTATTATACTAGCTGACCCGCGCAACTTCGTCTGCGTCTCTAAATAGTAATAAATTTTCTCAGGTTTTGAAACATTCTTCATTGGTGCTCCGCTCCTATTGGTCTTAGCGTGATGATATATAGCCTATAGCCTTCCTCGATAAATGGGCTATCTAACGCTGAAAGAATTTTTTAAATCGGACCAGTAGTTCCTGAGATTAGCGCGTTCAAACAAACAAACAAACAAACAAATAAACAAACTCTTCAGCTTTATAATATTAGTATAGATAACTTACTAGCTGACCCGCGCAACTTCGTCTGCGTCTCTCAATAGTAATAATTTTTCTCCGTTTTTGAAACATTCTTCATTGGTGCTCCGCTCCTATTGGTCTTAGCGTGATGATATATAGCCTATAGCCTTCCTCGATAAATGGGCTATCTAACACTGAAAGAATTTTACAAATCGGACCAGTAGTTCCTGAGATTAGCGCGTTCAAACAAACAAACAAACAAACTCTTCAGCTTTATAATATTAGTATAGATTTTTGAATTTTACTCGAAATAAGTGTGTATTATAAGCCTCTAATCCAGACTTGTAACATTGTGAATCACCGCGATAGGCGCACGTTCTAATTTTGTTGACGGAATCACTTTACGAATTTATTTTTCATTTTACTTTCAATTTTTCAAGTAAGAGCTTTAATTTTTGTTAAGAAAAATAAATGAAATCTGTTTTAATATGTTACAGGCTCTTTATCTACTAATGTTTTGAGGAATGGCAGAACGGAAAGTGTAGAACATTATTTGAACTGAATCCAGCATTATTTTCATAAACTTTTTTATTTATTGTTTGTTCCAGTTTCAATTTAGAAGCTAATTTTTATTTTGAAATGTATGTCATAGCGGAAATACAATTTACAAGAGAAATTTTAAAATCTTTACTGAAAAAGACAAATCATAGGTTGTTTTAAATTTAAATAGCATTATCGTAAATTAATCCTATAGAAAATAAATAATTATAAAGATAGGCAATAGATACTTTGTACTTGAGATGAATGAATCGCTAGTTCCGTAGACGGTGATTCTTTGTTCTTTTAATGCCATGGTTTATAGAAATCTTTTGAATTTAACAAATCTCTTAAAAAACTACAATGAAATGGAACTGGAAATGTTTACATTCTTGACATTATTTCACGTGCTTGGTTTGTTTAAGTCATATATTATTTTAAAGCAATAACCAACAATGTATTTCTTTAGGAGAAAAACACAACCAACCAAACAGAAAAACCTTAATTTTTCTGCTTCATTTTTCGCTTACGTCGCATTCCAGTGCCGACGCCTACTTAGCGTTGTTTACGTTTCTCACATGTTCTAAATGAATAGTTGAATTGATATTTTGTATCCTAACTAAAAATATTTCAGGTTTTCTTTTTATTTGAATGTAATTTAGACCTTAATGTTCGTTAATTTCATGAATAAATAGTAACTATGGCTGTTCATCAGATTGCATGCTGCACTTTTAATCTCATAAAGTACCATATAGTATGTCGTGATAGTTTAAAAAAATATATATAATAATGAAATAATGACTGGGTCTTTGTCTAACGAATGTTTGCTTGAGATTGGCTATGTTGGATCCCTGTATGTAACACAATATAAAAAATTGTATGATGAATATGTCGATATTCTCGCAAACCGCATTGTCTGTTAAGTCACTACTAATAAAATATCCCCACGATACAGACTTGCCTAGTGTGGGGTACCGCGTTAAATATTTATCTGTTAAGATCTGCTACACTGCTCTGCTTATTTTATGTCTTGTTAACCATTTATGTAGGTATTTTATTTTCTTTGTGTTTCTAAATAGTTATTTTTTCATTTGTACTCAAATAACACTACTCACTCGTTACTTATATATCAATTAAAGTAATTAAATATTAATATTATTACAAAAAAAAAGCCGAAATAAGTTGGTTTGGCAGTAGCTCCTGGTTTAAAACGTCCTGTAGCTAATGATGTAGGTACTAGTAAAACATTGATAATTAAGCATAATAAACAAGTGCTTTTGTTAGATCAGCCTCACATGTGCATATACCGACGTAATAAAAGCGGTAAAAGTTTTACGTACTATTGATTAGTTACACGCATATGTGTGCGTGTATTGCGGTCCAGATGCGGCTCAGGACGGTCCCGACATGAGTCACGCTTCTCGGAAGGGGCCGCGACTATTTTAGACTGTGTCCGCTTACCTTCTAGGAACCGGGTAGTGTAGGACCAACGACCGATCGCAAAGCCAAACGTATTGTTAGATCGGTAATGGGGTTGCTTCTAACGACCATCGGTTCCTAGTTACATTCTTGCTAAAGTAATATCCAGGAAGTTAGGTATTTCTTTATTATATTATACATATTACTACTCACTCCTTATATGGTTGAGATTTTGGTCCAAACTCTAATAATGTAATGGTTTGTCCTAGGACTATTATCTGAGCTCTTAGTGTTTATTTATTTTTAGCCTGTATTACCCCACTACAGGGCAAATATTACCCATATTCTTAGTGTTACCACTCTTAAAATATAGTTTCTGTTTGAGATAAGAGAGAGATGAGATTAAGATGAACATCTAATTTTGGGTTCACTGCTTCAAGAATAATACACATGTTAATAACTAAGGTTGTCTTTGCTAGATAATATTCCTAACGTCTTTATGATACGTTCAATATTGCGATATAATGATCAACGTCAGTGGATCCTTTGTTTATTCGCTGCTTCCGGTCTACCTACAGGATAGGTCATTCTGTCTACCCGAAATTTATTAAAAATAACTTATGCATTTATACTGACTTGTGTCGGGATATTAAGATACCATTATTTTCAAAATAATAACTTGATTTATAAATTTTAAAATGTTTACAATTTTGATTTAAATACATCTAATACAAAACTAGACATTAAAAGATAATTTTTCAGCAATTGTTGAATAACTATATAAATCAGTAAATCAAAGATAACCGGCTCGATATTAATTTTCTTTTTTCTATCGAAAAGTCGTCGGGTAAGTGAAATGTATACATTCGGGACACGAATAAAATAAATGTAAAACCGATAATAGTTACAAGCTTTTTGTGTCATATCTAAATAGTTTGACAATATCAAGATACATACCTACTTTTTACAAACTTTGCTATGTTATAAATTGTTGGACCTCTCATTTCATACCCTCTATTTCATCATTTAGTTCTTCACAAAAATTGGATTAACTGTATGTTTTAGATACCAAACGTTTTAAATATCTACTACACCTATAGGACCTCTCCAGAGATGTATATAAGTGTGCGTTACCGTAAGGTAAATTCGCAAATTTTCCCAAATGTGTTAAGTGAGACGTGCCTCGTGGCTCGTGCCCTGCTGAGTCAGAGAGCAGACGTCAATGCGGTAAGAACAGTATCGCGGTAAAGTAAATAAGTCGTAATATTTTCATGGGTGCCGCCGCGCCGGGCATCTCGCCCGTTATGCGTTGTTCAAATAAACAATCGTGTTGATTTTTATACAGTAACCGCCTTTCGAGCGCCAGTAGAAAAAACTGATTGCCAAATTTCTAGCTAAAGGTTTTCTGTCTACATACACATCAAGCGTTATACGTGCTTTCGTGTATCGCTGACGAGACAACCTAATGATTGCCTTTACCAGAGTCATTGAAGTTAGTGTTATAACTTCAACCCATTGCCGTCCATTGCTGAGCGAAGACCTCCCCAAAGAGCGCCAACCATCCCGGTTTTGGGCAAGTGATATTATTGCAATTAAAGGGCTAAATTATATATGTTCTTATTTCGTATTATAAGAACAGGTAGGCCAGGCCTTCCGAGAACTTATTTAGCTATCTGTAAACTTGAGATTCATCCCTATTTGATTTAAATAAATATCTATCATCAATATTTATTTAAATCAAAAGAGAATAAATGAGGATTAAGAAAATCTAAAGTATTTATTATATGATTGTAAGTTTTGTTTTACACTTTGTTTTATCTTTCGTCTCTACCCGACGTTGTTTGAGTTGGTTTTTATTCACTTTATTATATTTTTCTACAAATACCGTATTTATACCCGTTCTGCGTGTACATGTTTTTCTGTATTATGTACGTTTTAATTTTTTTAACTATAAATTTTATTCGGCTTGAATGAAGTGCTATAAATCCAACAGTATTAATACTCCAACACTACTCACTCGTTACTTATATATCTTGTAATGTTATCACGCCTGAGGTTGTTACTAATTTCATTTTAAATCTTCTTCATGTAAGTGCACATCAACCTGTAAGCAGTATATTAATAGGGTTCAATAACTTTTTTCTGTCGTATTCTAATTTGATTAGGCAATCTGATTTTAGCCGTCTGTATAAACTGTATATCCCAGACTGGAAGTCATAGAAATACACTACCTACTCTAAAACATATTATTTCGTCCAGCTATGCTTATATATTCTATCCATACATACATATACATAATTATGTACCTATGTACATACATAGCTCACTTAATAGATATCGTTTAAATATTTATATATAGAAGCGCACACAACTGTTTACATGTAAATAATATTTATAAACGGTGCATTAAAAAAATTCATTCACATCTCATAATCGTCGAACGCTAAATTAACTAAACGCATTTGTTAGGTGTCAACAAAAAGAAGCGCGTCGCAGGCCACGTATGAATCAGCACGATACAATTAATCTAATTTAAGGTTATCGGGGAGGTTTGGGACGGACTGGGCGACGACGCACAGTCTCGCGAAGCCGCCGCCGCCGGCGCATCGGCACCCGCGGTACTCAGCGTCCACGCTGCACTCTTATGCACCCGCGCGACACACGCGCGCGTCTTCGTCAACTACGTCCTCCGACAGTGCCGTGCCCACACGTACTCCACGTGGACCCAAGTATCTATGTTCATGTGATCACAGTGAAATGCCGCAAACAGACTGTTCTGTTCAAGTTTCGATAACAGTGCAACCGGGTTACGATAAATTGCAAGTGTTCGTTGACGTTTACATGAGTGAGTATCTCGTTGTACCTCTGAACATTAGGTAATAATGTTATAAGAGGTTTTTGGTAATTAGTTTAACTTATCGCCATATTATTATTCTCTCCTGATCATAGCTAAAGAATAAGTAAGTTTTCAACTCTTTACATATTTTTAATTTTTTTCCTATGTCCGTAAAGATTACTTCGTCTATTTCTTTTAGAAAAATTTCAATGTATTTAAATATAATGATATCTTGAACTGCTCAAGATACTACAGTATTTAATGAAATTATTAAAAGTACTTACCCGAATCACAGTATCCACGCTCAAGTGAACAGTCACCATCATCATCAACAGCCTTTAATAGTCCACTGCTGGACAAAAGCCTCTCCTTAGAAAGGAGCTATAGGGTTTGTGTCAAGTTTTCCTACTCTGCAGTGCTGTTGTTCTGCGTAGTTTTCTCCCTTAGTCGGCTCTTACGACACCCAGGGGATGAATAGGGGTGGTGACACTCTGTATTCTTAATCCGTCACCACACGAACCAGTTAGAAAATTATTATTAGCACATTGTTGAATTAAATTACTTGTTATCTTATATTTATAAAAATGATACGTTGGTTTGGTTACGCTTAAAAAACTCAAAGTTCAGTCTGATTTAATTCAAATTATCATACAGCATACAACCCGCTTTAAAGGTTGTTTTTCTCTATTCTTTGCGTCAGTTTTTTTCCTAATTTTCAAACAATGCAATCACAATGTGCCACAGCGGAGCATTGCAGGGTACAGCTACTACCAAATCATATATATAAAATTCTCGTGTCACAATGTTCGCTCCCGTACTCCTCCGAAACGGGTTGACCGATTCTCATGAAATTTTGTGTGAGAATCGGCCAACATCTATTTTTCATACCCCTAAATGGTAAGGGTGACCCATCCCTAATTTTTTTTGTTTTGCAATACAACGTTTGCCGGGTCAGCTAGTATATTCAGAAATTTGCAGAAATAAGAAATAAATCATTTTTTAAATGCAAATATTTTCTTATTATTCGTTACTCCGTTATTTATATGCCTAAAAGTTAATTTAACAATACCTGTTCATAATGACCGTTTAGAAGCTCACCATAAGCCCGAATTTAAACAGCACCATAGGATGCTTAAAAAATTGTTGAATCTTGTAAGTATTTAGCTAACAAGGCTTAGATAGTGCTGTAATTTACTTAAACTTTTTCAAACTAATCTGGAAATTCGCGAACTTAATGTAATGGGCATTCTCTAACAATCTCTCTAAAGTTAATGCAGTGATGAAATATTATAGTGAAAATTTAATGTTAAATGTATTGTAAGTGTTTTCTTTGTGTTTTTGCCTATGATTGTAAGTTTGTAACTACAAAGTATAGCTTTGTAATAAAACAAATTATTACTGTTATTCATTTAAGTCAGTCAATGTGCAAATTAGATATGACGGACACTATAATCACGCGGTAAATTTTATACTAACGATTGGCGACAGTGAAATAATCGTCTGTCAAAAGGTAATGCCAAAATCTCTCGGCTAACTGGCTATCGTGTAGCGTCGATTGACGCTTTCGGCGCGACGATGAATCATGCTAATTATTTTATGATTCGCGTGCAGAGCCGAGCGTGCGACAGCCGGAGTAAACAATTAGATGAGCCACTTATATCACGCTAAAAGCTTACCGGTGACCCTCTATTAATCGCTCGGCGACAAGTAGTGATCAGCAAGACCTTCGTCAATAGATTTTTAGGGTGCCACACTAATTCTCTAAATCTCCAAAATCCTAGGCTCCTCCAATTATGGTACTGCCATTGCGAAAAGAGGTTTTTTTTAGGGTTAATTCAAAAGAAAAAATCTAAAATAAATAGTTTATTTACTAAGAAAAGGGTTTAGTTTGAGCAAGGTCAGTACAGATATATAATTGCTAATACCACCACACAAACAGTTCCTTTGCAGATACCACAGTGCAAAAAAAAAAACTTTTTTCTTTTCCTGTAGTTCTTCCTTTGCACTTCCTTGGCAAGCTTTAAATATTTTACGAATTTCCTTGCATTGCATTCATAAGAAACAACACCTAAATGTTGACGAACAATATATAATAATAACAAAATAGGTTAAACAACAGATGATACTCTTTAAAGTCAATATCCGTACAATATCCTACCAACAAGTACTTCTTAACTGTGTTCTCATTAACCAGTATTTAACTATGCAAAAACACAAGTTTTATACAATAATTCCTTGAAACATTAAGTCCATAGAATATACACCAATGTTTATGAAGGCACCATTCGTTCACGTTCTTCCTGATTTTTCTTTTAACGTCTCGGCTGCTGTCCAAATTTATAACAGCTCTAAATTTATTTCAGATCTTTGCTCTTTTGTTCTGTAAGATCTTTAAGCGGCACTAATAAACAATTCCCTTTGAAGACTCAAAAATAATGTTGTTTACAACTCTTCGGTAACGAGTAATGTCCACAGCTAGAGCCCTTTGCTACATAAGATGTTACAATATCGAATCTTTTAAAGGAATTACGAGCCGTGACAGTAATATTATCTATAGGAACTTAAAAAGGCATCTATTGATAGCTCTATATACCGTTACCGTTATCTCTATTTATCGTTGTAAAACCCACATTGTACGCACACATTTGCTCTCACTCTTTTCAAAATATGAAACAGAAACGTAGGACGCACAACACTAATGAAGTTCAAATTAGATTAGCAACATCAAGGACTAGCAAAAATGTCACTCCGACTTAATTAAATAAAAATATTTAAATCATAAATGTTTTAAGTTTTTTTTAGCTTTATTAAAGTTCATTCGAATTCTTGCCTTATCGAAAGCCTATGGTAGAAACATAATTATGTTTTCGTCTGATATCCTAAAATTGATTTCGACCTTCAAACATAAACAAAGACGATGATAGCAAGCCTTTTGTGGTCGTGACGTTAACTATAAAAAGTGTAGTAAATACGGCCGCGATGAGACATTTTGCAGACGGCGCCTACAGTGATTCAGTCTGGAGCAAGATTGCCTTTATAGTTGTGGTGGTAGTGCGTCCGGGACGTTGGCATCAGCATCGCGACATGACTAACTCGCCCGCTCTAGATACAATCAAAATATGTGACAAGTTTATTTCTATTCAGAACAACACATTCTGTCCTGCTCGATATATCCCGCGCTTCAAAGTTGAACATCTGCTGATTTTTCAACGACATAAGTAGGTCGGGGCTCGCTCCTGCGTCACGCGCCCTGGCCGCGGTCGCTCACGCTGCGCTTACGTTTACGAGAACTCGTTACGCTATTTTTCTATAACATCGCAACGCATTTATACTATTTTTTTTAGTTCGCAACGGACTATTCATGAATGCATATCATTTGCTTATATTTTGGCGTCTTGTCATTGCAAGTATGTTTTAATACTTCCTTGTTACCATATGTATCTATATTACCTTGTTTATCCAGTTAATGACGATTTTAAAAAGTCCTTGATTCAACATAAATAGCTTTAAACATTATTTTGCAAAGTGGTAGGAAAATAAATTATAAGCAAAGCATTGTCAAATATTTACACTACTAGAAAATAACCTCACACACCAATGATCCCAAACTAGGCAGAACCTGTACTATAGTAACCAGACTGCAGATAAACATAATTATATATTTCCAAATACATACATATTATAGATAAATTATACCCAGACGGCGAACAAACGAACGTGCTCATCACACAAATATTCATCCTGGGTGGGAATCAAACCCACGACCTCCGGCTTAGCAGTCAGGGTCACTAACCAACAGGCCCGTCGTACAAAAATCGTAAAATAATGTTCAAAAATCTGGTGCAGTCTGTAATATCAATTTTCTATGACATCAAGTCTGAAAGCTCTCGTATTATAACGATGCCGTCAGAGAGCCCTGAATCCAATACCGGTAAGGCCGCTATTTTTTATCCGCTATTTTTTATGAATGCGTAAAGAGAGTATTATTGGTAAGATATAAAACGACGTAATATTAAGTGTGTTATGCTGCATGGGCAATGGCGATCGGTCGGACGTTCGGGCGCGCTCCACTAAAATACCGCGCTGAGTCACCGTGCGATTTCACAACTACACTGCTGCCAATAGCTTTTGTATTACTTCCTATTCCCGCTATGATGATTTCCCCTATTTATTAAAATATTCCTCCCTTAAGCCATTTATAAACTGCACCTTTTTTTTTATTGTTTCGTACTCGGAAGCGAAAGTAAATTATTTGCTATTAAAACAAATTATCTATCATAAATCTATTATATAGAATCTGTTAGCTATAATCAGTTCATACTAAAGCCATGCCTGTGCCTTATTTTTCTGACTAGGACACGTATACACATTATTATTTATGTTATAATATATTTGCGTGCTTCTGCCCGATCACAATGAGGTTACTCGAAGCAATTTTCATTTCACTGAACTGCAGTTTGGTTTAATGGAACCGATTGACCAAGTCGTGTTTTTGTAAAATTAATGCTGAAATAATAAAATAAAAATGAATTACATGTCATTCATGACGATGTTATATCATTACCCACTTAATAATTAATCTTCGATAGACTAATGTTGTAAACGTAGTCCGTGATTTTTAAAACTTAACGTTCAATTAAACTTGAACATTCAGGGATAAAGCTAATTAATTTCGAACGGGCTTAATATTCGCAAACGTGAATAAAACGTTAATATCCAGTTTTTTTTAATGTCAAAAATTCATACATAGTGTACACAATAATATTATTCTTTAAAAATTCTCCAATATAAATTAGTACAAGTTAAAAACCGTTTTTTTATATCAAGTACACGTAACGTCACGTTAATGTAACGCGTGTGGTGACAGATTAAGAATACGGCGTGTCACCACCCCTGGTTTTCCCATGGGTGTCGTAAGAGTCGACTAAGGGAGCAAACTACGCAGGACAACAGCACTGCACACAATAAATCGTGAAACAAACCCTATACCAACCCGTCTGTTCAGCGTGGTATAGTAGGCCAAAACCTCCTTTTAAGGAGAGGCCTACATATATCCAGCAGTGGGCTATTAAAGGCTGTTAATGATGATAAATTCTGAACTTCTTGCTTCGGGCGTTTTTTCCAAACTAGGTTGGGTACTACGATACGGCTGAACTTCGAATTTTTTACGCAAAGCGATTGCCATCAGCGACGTTCTGTGAGAAGACTGTTGTCGGACTTTTTACGGCTTCAAATACCTGTAATGATGACCACAGATATCCCTATGGCAACCGTGACCGATAGTTTAACGTGGTCTCAACGTTTTAAGAATGGTCATGCATCCATTGACTGACCTGGCTAGGATTGCTTAACTTTGCAATGTGTAAACCTACTCGGTTACCACTTAGCCACAAGCCCTTCGAGTTAATGTATTACTATTGGTTACTTCAATTAAAATATGACAAATACAATATTAGTGGCCGCAATAGGTTACCTTTAAAATTGTTATTTTACCATAATAACTAATCCACTGTTTGGTGTACCAATAATAATTCACAGGCTGCCTATTACCAAGTCGCAACAGTATTTGCTCCTAAAGATAAAATAAATTGAAACGCATTAAAATTGCCACAATTACTTGAAAACACAGGAATAATAATAAATTTTGGAATAATTTTGATGTGTGATTTTGTTTATTAAATACTAGCAGTTATTTAGTAATTTTACTTTACTATTTATCGCTACCAGTTATCGCTTTATAATGTTAAATTTGATGGAAAAGGCGATCTATAAAATGTGAGTCATGTTGTGAACATAAGTAATCGTTGAACCTTATTAATGACATGTGTTTAAAACATTATAAGTCAACAAGTAAGACCTTAATTTGTCGAATATTTTTAAAATAACATGTTGTATGCAGAGTGGTTCTAGCTTTTAACTCGGGGGTAATTTGTTTGTAGCTAGGACTCACGACGACGACGAACTCTAAATAGTTTACCTACATGAAATAGTAGTTCGTCGTAGTTAAATTGTCATGACCTCCAGGATTCCCCTGTTATCGCCTTTGTATATATTTTGTTAACAACAACATGTTGTTTATCACAATGCTCCAGTGTCTTACAAACGCCATAGACACTTTCGAAAAGTACCAAAAGAAAATCTCACTTCGTGATTGCTATTGGACAAATACCGGTATATGACATGTGAAGCTGCTGACCATACTAGCATATTTTAAAAGCTGTGATCCATTCAATCTAACTATTTTGTAGAGAACTTTCGTCTTAAAGCTTTAAAGAAGAAAACATGTGGTTTTATATACCACTAAGTCAACAGAAAATGTCATAATGACAGTATTATACCTGTAATATTACAAATCGAGCAACTCCCGTGTGGATTGTCGAAACTACATAGTAGTTATAACACTAACAAATGTTGTGAAGTCATCGTGTTAAATTTGTTGCATCCAGTCCACTTCCGAGTCGCCACCCACTCACTGTAGTATACTAAAAACACAACATTCGTATATTATTTAAAATAAATTAGTTCTTATACTACTTTTTATAAAGCTGACTGGTTTGTGTAGTCTTTTTATAAAGCCTAGTGACTTTTGGCGCGTTGAATTAAAAGTTTTCCTATATTAGAAAACAACTCTTCTACTGTTTTTTACGAGTTGTCTTGGAATCGCAAATTCTCAAATAGCGGAATGTGTCCTACGAACGGTTTCTGCGTTGTATCCACCGTCAGGCAATTCTTTGATGTGCTCTGGATACAATCACCTATATAGCGCGTTAATGGTGACTGGTCCAGTTCTAGTTTCAGCGTAGAAGTTGGCACGAAATTGTAAACTGCCCTCTTTATCAAAGGCGCTAAATATCCAAATAGCATTGTACACGTTTTGTTCACTATCTTATGGTTAAGCGTGGGAATATTCTCTGCATCAATATATCCACAGACTATGTTGAATATTGTTACCACAAATATAATAGTACTAGTTTTATTATATTTAACAAAATCAGCTAATTTATAGCTGAGCTAGTTTCAAATCGTAACTGTTACAATGACTAACAAGTCACAAATTATCTTGCCGCCATTACATATTCGTATTTATTATTGTCCTTTAGGTTCTTTGAATTTATATGCAAGGACGGCTAAATTCGCACTGTAGATATTTCCGGATCGAATGAAAGTGTCTTCGGTGAATCAGACTTTTTAAAATGTACGACGTAATTCCCTGTCAGTCGTTCAACATGATACCACATTAAAACTTTGGACGTTCTGTAAATTTTTGGCACCCAGCTTAGTCTAAAGCAAGTGAAGGCATGTGAATTTGATGTACCTAGGGCTTTTATAAATAACAAAGGAGTAGGAATTTTCAAAGAAATATGTCTCAATTATACGTAGAAAAGTGTCCGTGACTTATATGTAACATTTCAATGTCTAGAAGCGTTAGCGGAGTAAGTAGACAGACATTTGCCTGCTTGTCATGTGGATGCTCATAAATCGGACTGCTAATAGAATAAGTGTCGTTCCGTGGACAGTTTCCGTGAGGTGTCAGCGCTACTGACGCAATCGGAACGGTCTGCGCCGCGTCCAGACGCTAAATCGAAAACAAATTAGAAGCGCCCGATCAAAGAAAGCTTTCCCTCACCCGCCGGATTTATGGTATTCGTCGAATGACTTGTAGATTATTCAACAAGTGAAATAAGTATTATAAATGTCTAAATGAATGTAAATTACTGTCGACTACAAAAGGTATAGTATATAAAATGTTATTAATACTCCAATAATGCACTCCAATCATAATCACAAAGAATTTCTATGATTTTGATAACTTTATTAAATATAAATATGTATCTTTATATAGTAAATAATAAAAGTCCCTTCCAAACCACGCAACGGATTTTAATGAGAGTTTTACTCTCAATTCACAACCAAATCGCTAAAATAATAATTTAAAAGCCCTACATAAGCTAAACGAAAGTACAGATGGCATAGTTAAGTGTTTTGTGGGTTCGATTCCCATGTGGGATAATACTTTGTGTGATCCACAAATTATTGTTCTGGGTCTGGGTGTTCTTTTTGTCCATTTCTGTGTTACATTTCATAAATATATGTAAAGTCCCCCAAGACACAGGATATATCGGGAGTTGCCTTTTTAAAAGACGAAGAAAAGATACTTCAAAATGATAAATTGCTTCTAATATATTACAAGTGCTTATTTACGTTAAGTCCTAAGATCATGTTGGTAAATATATGTCAACCTTTAGAAAGTATTAAGCAATTACAGATTAATATAATAATGAATTTTTAAATTTTTAAATTTTTCAATCCACAACTGCTGGCAACACAACTGTTGTGTTGCATACAGCAGTGCTTAATAACACACGTTTTTTTTTCGTTTATTTTGTCCAGTATGTGTTCTACTAAATACGTAACCAATTTATCTAATATAATATTAATTACAAAAAACGTCGAAGGAAAAGAAAGAAAGATTTCATTTAAATGTTTTTGTGCGGAACCCCTTATTAATTAAACTGTAAATAAACTTTAAAAGTTTGTGAAGTTTTGTGTCACCGTATTTTGCCAAAACCAATTCGGTGTATTGTTAGCAAACTCTTATTAGTCCGATCAAGTTAGCCCGAAAAATAGGAGTACCCTTGCATAAATAGGTCAAACAAGAAATGTTAATCAGGTAAAATAGAAATAGGATAGATCAGACAAAAATGTCGATCATTCAATTATCTACAAAATTTTCTGCACTTTTTACCATAAGATTCACATTTTTTACGCCAGTAGTATACTTATCGCATTTTTTTTAACGTGATTTCCCCAGTACTCTACGGTCTGTTTTATTTAATTTCAATAGAATGTAAGGTCTTCTCAATCAACTTTTTCTTCTCGTTTTTGTTCTTCTCTTTCTTCTTCTTGGCCTTCTGGAGTTGACGTTAGTTGTTCTAACAGCGATACATTAGTTGATTTGTCGTTAATGACTTCTTCGTGTCGTTAATCTTCTGTTAGAGACACATTTGAGCACATATATTCATGCATTTTTTAAATGAAAGTGTACTTGTGTAAGTGTAGAAACTTACAATTTCTACGCCGAAATTTCTGCTCTTGTTTCTTTTCATGTTCTTTATTTAATTCATTGTCGCAAAAGAATCAACAATTTTTGAGACTGAAAGCTGATTCACTTACACGTGCTCTCGTATGAGGAGGGTTCTGTACACCAGACGTATACAGCCGAAATATAAAATATTGTTTTACTAGCTTTTGCACGCGATTTCGTCCGCGTGGTGGTCGAAATCAGACATCGTAGAGGAGACAATGAATCTAGATTATAGGTATATTCTCCCTAAAAACTTGCACCGCTTTTAAGGGTAGTTTTGAAAAATGTGTAACAACGTTTTTAAATATTTTTAATTAAGAGTATTTACTGTGGGTAAACGCTACTATCAAAAATGACGAAGCCCCGTTTTGCATCCTTAGGGGTGGAATTATTAAAATCCTTTCTCAATGCACATCTACGTAAAGAACATTTGTGCAAAATTCATGCTGGTATAGCCAGCGGGTTCAGCTGTGCGTTGATCCATCAGTCAGGAATCATCCTGTCAGTTTCTTCTTTTATATGTATAGATTGGTAATTTTGGTTTATCTTATAACCCTGGTATACATCGTGCACAAAAATTTATTAGTAAGGCTGTAACAGTTTTACTAATTTTATGCGTCGAGTGATGTACATAGGCGCGCGTAGTCATGCATATTATTTGGAATACAGCTTCAGTAAATTTTAGAATCGCTTTTCTCAAAAATTGTGAATCTTAGGGGAAAAAGTGTAAGGACAACTTTGCACATAATCGCATGATCTATATTTTGGTTGACCTATTTTTATCATAAATTCAACCGTTAACTAACCGTTTTGCAAAAAAAGCCAAATAGACCCATTTTTGCCAACTTTCACCTTACAAAAAATTTTTGCACACATGGGATTGATTGGGAGTTTTGACAATTTCACTATGGTATAATGGTATCAAAAATGCAGCTTCTTTTGAATAATAAACAAATAATAATAACATATTATAGAAGAATGAATGAATGTTTTATTTCACTTTAAAACTTATTTACATTTACACTTTGTGATTGCTAAATAATATGGAAAAAATCTCTTCTATAATATTCATTCACTCATATTATAGAAGAGATTTTTCCTTCGCTTAAAATTGAGATAATGAGAGAATAGCCTTTAAGAATATTTCTTTATTAAGCTTTTCGTGTTACCAGAATTATTTATTCTCACGTCTTCCGCCAAATTCGAGTAATTGGAGCAGAGTTTACAGTTCCTAGTTTAAATTTTATAGTTTAGCGAAGTTAGTCGTAAATTGCCGCGAGTATTAGTCATGAGAAGCTCCAGCAGCCGGCGAGCTGTTAACGAGTGCCCCCGGTACCTTTCTACGCCTTCCGTATGTTAATTATCACTTGTGTAACACAAATTAGTCTCATACGTTATATTTTGTTCATTAACGCTTCGCTGTAAACAGGTGGTACCAAGGGTTCACTGTATATAAATAGGAACGGAACATTTTAAAAGTATATATATCATCAATATCGCTACAGACTGCAAAATAAAGATCTCTATCTTAAAACTTCCCGGCATCACCCAATTCGAGTGTGTGTAGTAGGATAGAGTAGAGAGACTTCTCCTGTTACATTAATTTGCATTTCGATTATTCTGATTACTTCGGACTATGTAATGTGTAAGTTGTAATGCTATTAAAGTGCAGAGTTGGCAATCCCCTCGCTCGCGCACTAAACTATGCTAAAGGCCACGTGCTATAAGCGCTATAAATTTTAGTCCAAATAGTAGAATGTTGTCACATCCATCCGCGTGGAGTTTGTCTTGAGTTTGTTATTGATATTAACCATGTAATATGTGTCAGGTACATCAATGTAATGATGTGCAAGCAACATGACAGTTTTAAGTGTAGGCGTGTCTTTCGTTCATTGCGTTTTGGACTCATCAAACATCTTTGTAATAATCTCATACACTTAACGTCCATGGTCTCTTCACTAATATAATCTGAAGATTATAGGCAGTTAATGCCACTGCCACACCAAAAAGGTTCTGTTCTTAGCCGAAAGACGTTCACTGCAGGACATTGACCCAAAGTACTCCACAACAACCAGTCCTACGCTGCTCGCATCCAACGGTTACCAGGACCTTTACCAGGTCCTCAGATCACCTTGTAAGGGCTACCCACGCTCCGTCTTCCGGTACAAAAAAGTACCTAATTAGAAAATAATAGGAAGGCTCTCAAGGAAAAAAAACAAATAGTTATCACTTCTAACTGTTCAAAAATTTACTAACAATCTTAAACTGTTTTATTGCATTTTCTTTGTGGAAAGCCCCGTCTTCTCGTATTCGTACGTTAACGATTAATTTGTTTATCAATTCATCAGGTTTTTCAAAATTGTTTACGAATAATTATTTTTGAAATTTGTTCGAAAATAATACAAATAGCCAAACATGATATTACTAATATTATTAATGCGAAATTATGTCTGTCTGTCTTTCTGTTTGTCTGTTACCTCTTAACGCTAAACCGCTGAACCGATTTAGATGACATTTGGTATGGAGATACTTTGATTCTCGAGGAAAGACATGGGCCTTTACGTGGGCGGAGCTGCGGGCAAAAGCTAGTACCTATAATAAAATTAAAAAAATTACTGCGTACAGTAAAAATGTTTTGTTTAATGGTACGCACAGTACATATGAACAGAAATCAACTGCATATTCAAAATTCGATATTACTTAAAAAAATATTAATCAGGGCGACTGAAGCGAACCCTAACACTATCTTATTGATGAGTATTATAGTGCCACCATGTATTGTTGTACTGCTGCTGAACGAGCTGCCTACCTGGTGGTGATCAAAATTGAACATGAACTGATCCCGTTTTAGCCAATGTTCAGTAATACAAAAAAATATCAATCGCATTGCAGTTCAGGAACATGACCCACAATGTATGCATTTTGGTGGTACGCTTTATTGAGAAACTATCACACTTTCAGTTTTGGGCTTTGGAACGGTGATTTCGATTTATGTCTAGATGTGTGATAGAATATTATTTTACACACATTAAAAAAAAGGCAACAATCTTTACCTTTTTTTATCTTTTAGTTTTACTATACTATTACCGCCATCTGTTGAGCATTGTAAAATCAATAATACATGTGTAATATTTTTATCAATTGGACTGTTACTAATAACGTACTCTGTTAGAAAATCAAAGAATTAGAAGCGATGTAAATGTTTAGTTAAAAAAATTTTTGGTTGAGCACAAATAAATAAGGAGTAATTAATTATCAATCGCGAAAACTTGGCTAGCCCTCTTAAAGCATCGTTTTTTTTATAGTTATAAATTTGCAATGAATAAATTTAAAATTATTGAAAAGCAAGTTTAAACTTTTACTAATAAGCATATGACAATTTAGTGCCCACTTTCACTCACTTGACGTAAGTAGTACAGTGTAACCTTAATATAACGAGCCTCAATATAACGAATTTCTCGTTTTAACGAATTTTGCGAAATCGCTAAAACTAAATGAAGACTAAGCTACCAAAATACATTTGTTGGTTTTCTATGTTTATATGTATGTATATGCGAATATTGATTGTGCGTTATTTTTTTTAGAAAATTGTGTAAAAAAATTGTCTTTTCGTTTAAGAATATTTTTATTTATTAGTGAACATCGTTCGCTTTATCAAGGTAAACAGATGAGTATCTACGTAATGTTGAGGTTAATGAACAAGTTTCATTAGGTACCTTGTTAAGACGAATCGTAGTCCAATCTAACCTCTATACAACAAACCCCATTGTAACAAATTACGCGGTATAACGAATATTTTTTAATTCCTTTGAGTTTCGTTATATCGAGGTTGCACTGTAGTATACTTTGTATTATATTAATGCCTAAGTATCATATATTGAAAGTGGATAATATTTATTAGTTTAGTGAAAAATCTTATTTAACTTACGTTATTACTCGTACTTTGAAACTTGCACTTAAAACCGATTGTTATTGTAAATCGAATCAGCAACATTTTGTCATCACTACGACTATTACTAGGCTAACTACGACTATTTATCGACTCGCTCAAAAGATAATTATATTAATAGACGTATTTTATAGTTAGTTTAGCCGTACCTTATACTAACTATTTCTAATTTATTGTATGTGTTGTGTATTCTATGTTTCTTTTTCAGCAATCATAATCACAACGCGGAAGCAATGCGTCTTTTTATACGTAATTATGTCACATTTCAAAATGATATACATTAACGTTTGTTCTGCGTATGATTTGCGCACTCGATATTAGGCCACCATTGTACAACGCAATCACACCTATAAATTAGGGCTGCGATGCCGTAATCGTTCGGTCCTAATTTATTTCTGCGCAACACACGAACATCATCCGTGCCACGAGTACGCGTCATGTGACGCGGATTGTCGATGCGTCGCCGCGTCGGCGCCGATTCGAAGCTATATGTATGTTTACAAGCAAAGTTTACTATCATCGATGATATTTTGTACGTTACAAATTAAAAGCAAATAAGTGGTCCGATGGAACAACGGGATGGTGGGGCGCATATCCGACAGGGGCGAGTTGTGTGCGACTCCGGTGCCGGGTGCAACTGCGCGTGGGCGCAGGTCGCTGACCGCTGCACAGAGCGCGGTGTGCGCCCTGCCAGCGAAAATGGCAGAAAACCTCACGAAGGGCGGCAGCACACGGCGTCCGCATTTAGCTCGGCCTGACGTGGCTGAGTCATCACCCCGCGAATAGCGGCGGTTGCACCGCCCGCTCCCGGCTCTCCCGTCGATTATTTCGAGCGGGTGGTGGCGTGCACGACGCGGCGGCTCGGCGACAGTGCTCGACGCGTTGAGCCCGAGAGCGGACCGACCCGCGGCGCCATGCCCCCACTGCCCGCTCCCCCCCGCGCGTGCCGTTCGCCTTGAGTCCGGCATCGTCACCACCATCAGGGATACAGTCAGCTGTAGTTGGATATTCTACAGTGAGTGTCGCGCCCGCCTACATCACGACCTCGTAGCGCGGAAAACCTTTGCCGCTTTTCACTGTGGAACAGTTCCATGTTCGCGTACCACTCTTTGTTTAAACGTCATCTCAGTGTTTCCTCCTTCTCCCAGAGGACCCTCGCGACTTGCGTGTGAATTTCAAAGGAAGCAATTTTGCTTACGTGTCTTTTATGAAGTGCAGTGCATACGGATAATACAATCTGTATTACATTTCATATCAAAACTTTTATTTGGAACGATATCTCACATACTTTTTGTTGTAGGAAAATCTTGAGTAAATAAACAAGATTCATGTTTCAATTAAACAAATCATATATTTATCCTAGATCTACTATCTCCCATCATTAGTTTAAAGAATAAGAATTTTAATTACATATGATTTGCACACGATTTCCAACATACTGAAAGCAGTTTACTCTCCAACAGTATAATATTTGATGAATTTTATATCAACGCCTTGTTAGTACACTACTGCCATCTATTTGCGGGAAAAGGAAATAATGTTGAAAGCAGAAATCTAGGTGAAGCGTCTGACATCAGCAAGTCCGGGGTAAATTTAACTCTTGACGTATTTAACACTGCCGTGGGACTGATTCCTCTAAACGTTGGGATTGTTCTCGCATTGGCTCCCATCAGACGATCATTGTTATAATTGCGTCATTGGATCACGAGCAGCATCATTATTATTAGTTATTTATGCGTCTTAATATACGTAACGTCTTGTTGCTACGAGTATTAAGTCGTCTAATCTATACTAATTCATTATTTAAGCGATACTTGTACTGTACAGAATTCAGCACAACCTCTTTATTTACAACGAGCTTTTTTTAAAAACTACCGATATTATGTTCTTAATAAATACTTCAACTAACTTTTTCTAAACTGTAAAGAAATTGAAGTCACAGATGCATCCATCTTTGTTTTGTAAACAAAACCTGTAAGCGTATTTTCTTTGTTCGGTAGGTAACACTAGCGCCTCCACTGGGGGCGAAGGCGCGGCGCAGCCGGCCTCGGAACCCGACCCAGCGCTGGACTCAATGCACATGATGTTGGACCCACATTTGAGGCCTATATCCCCGGACCTCAACAACGAGGAGTCCAAACGGATATTTGAAGAACATAAACAACTCGCACAAGAGTATCTTAAGGTTGGTCATTTTTCAAACTAACAAACAAGTTTTTCTTGTTTGTTAGTTTAGGCACAGAATATATTCCTAAAATTACAGGTAGAGAAGACTCACTGCAAAATCTTTAAAATTATAGAGACTTGCTCCTACATAGTAAAGTGCAATTTAGGTCGCAACATTGTTCATTTTCCTGTCGATATATTCGCCTAGATATACTATAAATAATAAATAGCTGCGTATCTTTCTATCGCGGAATTAAACTTACTAATAAGTAATCCTTTGTTATTTGGATTACGAACGTTTTGTATATATCTTGTCATTTTTCAATGACCAGTCGAACATGAACTAACTGTATAGATTTTTGTACCATCACAGGTAAATAATGGACTCCCATAGTCTTATGGGTTCTTTCCACTTAAACCCCCCATGGACACTCACTATTACCCTTGGACCCCTCAATAAAGTCTTTGCATATGGTTGCCTGAAAGAGATCGCCTCAGAGCGATAAAGCCACTAATTTGTATTATTTACAAAGCAAGATTTTATTTCTCAAATATAATGTCTTTCAGTGTACAATGTCTGTCTGGGGTTTGAAGTATATAAAATATATATAAATTTAATAATTATTTTCGCACCCCCGGGTTGGGGGTCCAAGTGTAATAGTGAGTGTCTATGGACCCCCTAGAGGTCTAGCGGGGGTACATAATTTTTAATAGGTACACATTAATATTTCAAATTTTCACTTCTTATACAGTGAACGTTAAGTATGCCGAATATGTTATGCCTCTATATTTATGTCAAAAAGGAGTACAAAGACATTTTTTCACGTTTAGGTGAATAATCCAAATATTTAGTAAACAAATAACATTTCAGTCACACCTAGGCTAAGAACTAAATAACTATATACTAAATCCGATCCGACAATGCGGCACGCTTGCCTAAAAGTGGCCGGCCGGGCCTGGTATGTGTCAAGTTTTGTAAGGCGAATTAAAACAAGTTGCTTTTATCCAACGAAATTTTTCGTGTATGTTCAGTACTATTCATAGATAATGGAAATCCACAACAGTGTGCAGACACGATACTTCATATGTTTACGAAGCCATGGCCTATGACACCATTCTTAATTTTTTTAACAATTAATATATTAAATTATTACCCGAAATACGTTGTCCTGGCCAATAAATGATTATTATGGGCGGTAGAAAAGAATTTTTAAATTTTCCGGGATGATACGTTGTCAATGTTTCTACTTCTGAAAACTAACTTATTCATTATCATAAACGTTCAAAAATTAAATTTGGCCAAATCAATCTAGAAATTCTCAAGTGAAGCGCTTACATATAGCATAAACGTTGAACATGAACGTATTTTTTCTTAAAGATTATTCCAGCGCATATTCAAAAATATGTTTTAAAACGTATAATAAATTTTGAAGCACATTCCTATCAGGATTTAGATAAAATGATTTATAATCTATATACAAATGTATAACATACCAGATGTATCCTGCCACGCTTCACTGTTGCACATTGTGGTTGCATAGATGATAAATGAGGAACAAAACTGTAGGTTTTTATATCATTATGTTCCTTACACGTTTCCTTTTTTTTTTGGTATTGGTTGTGGGCTTCGGTTTCCGCATTTAGACTCAGAGTGGTCCTTTATGCGTCGAGGATTGGTTGACTAGGTGAGCCAGCCAAGTTCCTTCCAGAAGCGCAGAAGCCTCCTGGGGTGTTCACAGGCTTCTAGGAGCGACTTTATATCGGGAATGATACTTGCCCGGAAGCGGTTCAATTAGCACTTCTCACTGTTGTTACCGATAACGCTCTGCTCGCCACGCCTTATAAATAATGATTCAATATTAACATTCTACTTACAAATTTTCAGATACAGACTGAGTTTGCATACCTCAGTAATCACAAAGCAGAGATAGAAGAAGAAATGGACGACGAAGAATTGCGGCAGAAGAGAGAGATTATACAGTTAGAGAAAGAGAAGGTATGTATATAAGTTAGCTTTCTGATAAACGCACAACAGATACCGTACTACGGTTAAATACATTAATGTTTCACGTACAAACTAGTATACTAAATGCAAAAGTAAATTTGTGTGTTTGCCACTATTTCATGCCATTACTATTGAACTGACAATATCGGTAAAGGGATGTAAATCCCTGTATTTAAAAGAATACAGAGAAAATGCTTTTATGTAAGAAAAAGTACGTTCCCAAAAGATCGATAAAATAATTGTTAAGCGACGGACGAAATATAGTCAATTATAAAATCATTGTAACATTTTATAAAACATAACATCATTTACAGTATTTTTTCCAATAAAAACAGTCGATGTTTTTTAATGGGACGTCTATTTCAATGCTCGATTGCAAAAAGCCAAGCTACGATTTCAAGAGAATTAAAGTTGAAAGTGAGTGACCAAGAAATTATTTTTCTTTACAGGAATCACTGATCAAATTATACTGTAGTCTAAACAAGCAGTTAGCTCGAGTAGAGAACGACAGCTGGATTCACGCGGAGGAGATGCCACACCAGTGAAGGGGCGGGGCCGCCCCGGGATGTGACGTCACGCGCCGCGCCGCTGTCGGTGGAGGCTGCTTCAGTTCTCGTGTACCGTTGATCTCACCGCGTCAAATGACTCTTCGTTCTCGTCTCCCTTGTTATTTATATACAGGAATTTTAGTTATAATTAATATTTTATTCGAACAATTTTACGGTCTTCTACGCTTTTTAACTGATTATATTCATTTCGCTGTTTTTGTAGCCGTTAATATTTTATCTTCACTAATTTTACCACCGTACACGAATTTATTTATTTCATTTAGCACGTTTTAGTGCTATGAATGAGATTGTTATCTATCGATCGTCATTTTATTTCAATGTGGACACAAATATACTGTAGTTTGGTTCGTTTAATGTGTGGTTTGATTGTATAAATGTATAATAGTATGTTAGCATTGATAAGTTATATGTTAAGTTTAATAAAGATTTCTGAAATATGTTGGTTTAATATTTCAAATAATATGTTAGAACAGAAATCATGTTCAAAACGTTCTGGATGAAAAAACGTATCTCGTGGCCTCAGGTTTAACGATAAAAAAAAGGTATCACAATATATTTCAATCGATAACGCACAATATTTGTCACCATTAATACGTTAGTTGGTTACGTAATACCCGACAGACGGACTGTATTTATTCAAGTGATCGCATCGTGCCGAATATTGGGAGTTCGATTCCTATACATCTTCTATCTTTGTTATCCGTAAACAGTTCTCCCACATGCGACAACACTGTGATCTTCAAATTTTTGTTCCGAGTCTGGGTGTTCTTTATGTCCGTTTCATGAATGTTTGTAAAATCCCCGCGACACGATTTATTAATAGTGCAGGAGTTGTGTACATTTCAAAAATGTAAGAATAAAACGAAATCATCAGTCCAAATAATTTATTTCAATTGTCATAGTCACAATATAGATTTTTTGGAATGATAAATGATTGTAACAGATACTAATGACGTCCTTGGCACTTCTGGTTTTAATTCATCAAAATAATAATAGAGATTCAAACCTTACACAAATAAATGCTTGCTCGATGAATACAACATCGTATTATGGTTTTATTACATGGACGATTGTTCACATTAAAGTTATGTACAATAATTACAATATCGTCTACATGACTACAACATGGGGCCCAAACGAATAGAGCTCTCGGAGGAATCCGCTCAACGCTAGCCCGCCCACTGTCCAATCAAAAAAATGTTATTATCAATATATAATACAGACGGCCGAAAAAAAAATCTAGACTCTATATTTTTGAATTTATTATATATTTAATACAACGGTGTATAATTTAGGTTAATAAATAAACTTGAACAATTTTTATTACATCTTTTATATTAATAATTATATAAAGTGATATGATCTTAACTGTATCAAATAAATAGCGAAAAGCAAATTAAATCAAATCACTAACCAATTTAATGTATTCATAAGCATGTACACAAATAATGAGGCATCGAGCAGAGTCATCTCAGCCCATTGTTTTTGATATCGTTTCCATAAAATGTTGATATCAAAATGCCAATCAATAATGCGGCTTCACGAATAGTCGCGTTAAAATAATTTCGTTGTTACGGCTCGATATGTAAGGAAATACTACATAATATATATTATAATTATAATAAACAATATAGGAATGAAATCCGCTAAAACTTTGACTTAGCTACTGATTCTAAACTAATCTGAGAAAATAATAAAAAAAGGCAATTCTATCGAGCCTTTTCAATGTACACTAAAATATTATTAAATTATCTCCTATCAATAACGCACTGATTTAAAACATCATAAAAATAATTAAGGCAACAGTTGCTTTTAAAAAATATAGAATTATAGTTACACATACAAGATTGTTATTTTATAGGTATAACAATAATTCGCATGAAGAGTTTCCTTAGCTACGTATAATAATCTCACACGTGAAGTAGTGCGCCACACGCACAACACGTGCACACAGGCGCCGTATTGACAACTCACCGAACACAACCTTCAACAAACTTGGAAGATAGTCGCGTACTATGTCAACCATTCGTAGAATAACGAAATAACACTACAAAACTTTATTTCGTATGTACATTGTTGGATAATTTATTTTTTCTATTATTTATTTTCGGGTATGACACTGACGTGCTTTTAGCTTCACTAGTAGATCTACGACAAGACAAAGCCAGGTAAACGGAGAGTCTGTTCACCTAGTTCCTTAACAGAAGTGGCTACAATTAGCACCGCGGGCCTAAAATAATTCTTTACAAATTGAACTTTCTTGAACACGATAGGTAAAAATAAATTATATTTTATGATCAAATTATACGTATAAGAAAAGTTTACAGAAAATACAACATATCAAGAAATGCTACAACAATCTTGTATATAATAGGTTCTTAGAGAAAAAGTAGCAACAATATTAACAGAGTTAGAGAAAAATAAGGTTTAGTAAAGAGACACAAATAATTACCTAATTTTACTAGTCATGGAATGGAGTATTTCTGTAGAGACAGCGAACTCGTTAGCCTTTTATTGGATTATCAGACGTCTCCACTAACCGCTCGTTCATGGCTCAAACACCAGTCGAATTACTTAGCATTACAACGTTCAATACAACTAATTACTTTCGACACCAACTCTAGTCTTCATTTTCATATAAAATTTAATAAATATCTCTCGCAATTTCGTACTCCTTCCTATTGAAACAAGAAACAATGTCAAATAAAGCACACTCTAAACACATATGACGCAATACTAAATTGAGCAACATTTACTGAGAGTACAACAAATTACAGCGTTTACAATATATTGTCAACAGTTCTCGGGACCTCGCATGTCGATATATTAAATCTAATTGATATAAAATTTCAGATATAGAAATAAGGAATAAAATCTGACATCTAACGAGAAGGGAAGACTGGTATGGTCAATTGTTGTCGTTCCTGAAACAAAATTCAGTTAGTTTAGACAGTGTGTGTTACTTGTAGTTGAAAAGTTACATAATTGTAACTTTGAACTCCTTTATTGTACCAACAAGCAGTTTGATTTGGGACTTAAGGTTGAGAAAAAATACTTAACAGTCAAAAGTATCTCATACAAAAGAACTACACTCACAATATCTTACAATGATCGTACGAGATGTTGAAAAGTATGTGTACCGAAACAAAAAAAAACATTAAATATTCTTGAAGGCCAACTCTCGTAATAAAATTCGTTCAAAATTCAGTAACGAAATACTCTCGATCTTACAAATGTCATTATAGGTATTTTCGTAGTAAAGTATTAAACATCCAACGTTGACTGTAATGTGATCAAGGAGTAGTTCCAAAAGATCGATAGTAGAGGTCGAATACATGATAATGTGTGAGTAAGGCCTGTTTACCAGCGGTGTGCGAACACTAGCTGTTCTGCTCGCGGGCGCGGCGCGCCTGCCACTTGAAGTCGACCTGCATGAGCCACTGCTGGCCGCGCGACCGGTTGCACGGCCGCAGTACCGGCTTCCAGATGTCCGACGATTCTGGCTTTTCTAGGCACATGCGTGTGTTCGTATGCTTTATTGTTCTTAACTGAAACGATAAAAAAATATTAATGTATACGTTTTCAAAATGGCTGAATTTGTATGCATTTATTCAAGTCTATTGAAGTTAAGAAAGGTAACGTAAGAACTTAAAAATGTCTCCAAAGGACGACCAGCGAACAGTCCCCTACCGTTGAAAGCCGTTAGCAGAATATCCTCGAATTGTACCAAAAATTATAAGATGCCAATGACTTATCTATTGCTTACCACAGTTGGTTTAACAAATATCATTGTGGTCGAGTTGCATTGGTCATGTTATAAAATAAGTAAACAAAATTATGCAATTCGAGCACCTTATTGATGAAGTGACAGAGAGTTTTGTAATAAATGTTACAGACACGGCTTCTGAAAATGATTCGGCAATAATTAGTGATTAATAATTCTTGGTTTTATTTATTTTTGCTAAATGACAATTCTTTCAATAAAAATAGTAGCAGCTAGCTAGTAGCATCTATTGCTGTGCAGATGATAGCACGAGAGATGCGTTTTATACCGACCGCCCCAATATTTCTCGGGACAATATCACTTAGAGTCGAAACAAACTTGTGTCTGAAATTGAAATTTCCTTATCGGAGATTTCAGATTAGGATCGACTGAATCTAGTCCATTTTAACCCAAAAAGACACACCAAAGATGCCGTTTGTCGTATCGCTTCGGTTCGAGAGCACCTCCCTAACGGCCTCAGCCAGTATCGGAGGCAGCGACATATCGAGCGAGGTCCAGTTTCGCAGCCTTTTAGAGGGTAAGGTCAAATTGGCCTGAAATACTAATTAACTAGTAAGTACCGATTTAGTACTATAAAGAAAAATGAAGTCTGAGCAGTATTCTGAGAATGAGTTAAATATAATTAATTTGTTACCTTAGTGTCGTAAGTCCACTCCTGGTTGCCGCGCATGCCGTGACAGCGGATGAGTTTAATGGGGCCACGGCCGCTGGCTGCATCTAAGCAGTTGTCGTCAGACATTATTTGCTTCCGCTTTGTGTACGCGAACACCTGAAAATTGAATCTATATTTAAAAACTTCGTACAGTCAACTTATAAAATATATTACACAGACAGGGATTAATTGATGAACGTCAAATAAACGCCGCTTTTCACTTAGAGCCTGTGTACCTTCAAACCTGCTTACAGAGAACCTATAACATGTACACGCATAGTATTCATTACAATATTTACGGGTATACATACGTACGGTATACGTATGTACGGGTATCCCTAAATGTAAAATGTTGGCATTCAATCCGTAATTAACATCAAAGACATTTTCACAATTATACAAAATAGTATAATTTAAAATTCAGTATTAAAAGTTAGTCACTGCTACTACAACAAGTTACAAAATAAAGAAGAAGGAAGTGTTGGTATTGGTATAGTATGCGCAGAATTATCTGTGTGCGTGTATACAAATTAGAGCGCAATATTCTTATATGTTATTTAAAATTATTATATTTACTACTATTTGCTTGTAACTACTGACTGGGTTTAACAAACCAATAGTTAGTTGGTATTAGTTAATTCGAGTGATTATTCAATCCCCATTAATATTATAAATACGAAAGTAACTGCCTGTCTGTCTTTTATCCTTTCAGGGCTAAACCGCTGAACCTGAATTTTAAGGAGGGGGCAGCTGTACTGCCCTCCCTTAAAGTGAAAAGTTGCGAAGTTTTCGTTTTTTAAAATTTTTAATTCTGAGGGTATTTTCTTATTTTATGGATTAAAATTAACAGTAAGTGTAAAAAACAAGGGTGGACCCCTTGGAGGGGAAGGGGTGTTTCCCATACGGAAGGAAGGAGACCCCCTTCATTAGAAAAAAAAGAGGACTGATTCATAGAGATTTCTGTATCTATTTTGAGACTGCAAAGTCGCCGGCGCTGTGGGAAGAGCAGCCTCTACACCCTTGCGTAACAAATCGCCTCAGCTTTGGCTTGCCTACGCGCCTCCGGCTTTATAAAAACACTTTAGGTGTAGGACAGACTCGTACCAGGTGGAGTTGGGGTCAATTAATTCGGTTCTTTGAAATAAGTTGAACCTAACCTATTTTATTTGTTATCTGACCTAATAGGTACAGTTAAAATAAAACGAAATCAATACTAATTAGTAATTTATAAATGGCGTCAGTTTTACTTTTCGTTCCATAAGACGGTAAACACTACAGTAGTAATTGTATATAGCAACATACGGGCTTGCAGCAAGTAGGGGCAGAGCCCATTAAAGTATAGCGGTAAAAGTACAATTGACGGCTTTAACTTTTATTCCAACACAAGGATGGCAGTAATAAGATAGTGACGTACGAGTATTGGGATTTAACTAAATTCATTAATACTACTGTTGGTGACACTTCACGTTGTGTGATACCGATGCCTGCCTTTTCGAACACTAACAGAACTTTTAATACCCGATTTTAGGAAAGCTGAAACAACTTTTTCCTTGATCCTACACCTGTAGGACCTCCATTACACTGATACACCCACATACACAGACATGCAGGCAGGCTAATAATTGTTTGATATAAAGAAAATTGTGATTGATTTAAAGATATAAAGAAGAATTTTAACCTACTTACTAAAATGAAATGAGTACTTTTATCTTTTAGCATCGTTTATCAATAGTTAACAAATTTTTGTAATACTATTTTTAAGTTGACTTTTTTAAGATATGAAAATAAAGAAATATAGTCATGAAATAAGAATTTATCTTAAAATGAGAACTTCAAAAAGTACTATGATATTATGACTATCTGTTAAGTATCTTCGTGGCAAGTAAAGTGTTACATATAGTATCCGTGTAATGTAATATCAGATGATACAACTTAACAAATCCTTACTTGATAGTAATTAGGAGCTCGAACGTTCCGGTGTTTTGAAGTCTATCACAACAATCGAAATACAGGTATTTAAATTAACATATAAACATTTATTTTATAATTAATAGTAATCTAATAACATAGCTTCGAGTTTATGAGAACAATAATTTATTGTCATTTAACATCATCGATTGAAAAATTTCAAAACTCATTTTAAGTAAATATTTAAAACATACTGAGTGCAACTATAAATGAAATAAGACACTATTTAAAGTTATCAATACAATGTTTCTATAACAAATCAAGCTTTTCCCAAAGGTTTAGTTTGACGTGTCTACAAAGACATGACAGGGCTCACTAAATTATTAGTTGCTATTTCATGAATGAAAATGTTCACAAAATATTTCTAACTAAACTGATTAACTATTTGAACTAAAAGGCAGGCCGATCTGTATCCTCATAATATTTACTTAAAAATAAACTATATTTTACATTAAACATGGCTCACTCATGAGTTTACATTAAACAGTGCAAAGTTATATTCTTAAAATTTATTTATTATCTGGTAGAACATGCAGATTTGGAGATAATTGTGTCTTGTTCCATACTACGTATCGAAGAATACGAAAATATATAAATAAATGAAAAAGATATAATGTTAATGATTTACCTGGTTGCCACCCATCCCATGGCAATATCCCATACCAAGGGGTTGCCCAGCTTTGCCACCGAGGGTGTCCAAACAGTTAGACGTCTCGGCATTACGTATCTGTAATTGTAAGAAATTTATTTTTAAAACATGAGTTTAATTAATTATAAGTAAGTACAAAGTATCAATAAATGTTATGTATTACAGTCTCTGGTAACAAAAAAGAAATGACTACAATTGTTCACATTGTGCTCAAGCACAAAACGCTAGTGCTGCTTAAACTCGAAAAAAAAGAAACAACAAACAACAACAAAAGAAAGATTGATGGTGAGGTACCTCCGAGTCTATGTCAGCTCTATGATAGAGACTAACAGTTGTGAGATCTAAACATCATAGTGTTTTAACAGCGCCATCTAATTTTGAATGACGGCGCTAAAGAGGAATATTATGAACTATTGTAAATTACCTACTCATAGATGGCAATAACTAACTACAAGTCTATGTCATTATATTTTTGACAGTTGCTACACTATTATATGTAACAAGTGTGGACACATACTCGTACACTTTATATAAAAAACAAATAAAAGGTGAACTACCAAAACTTTGACCTCAATTATCACCTTAGTGAGACACTTTGAGACTTTCTATTTGAAAAAAAATTAACAAGTCATGTGCGGCGTGGTTGCTATTTTCTACACAACAATGTGTGGTGACGGATTGAGAATACAGTGTCACCACTCCTATTAACCCGTGGGTGTCCTAAGAGCCGACTAAGGGAAAAATAAAATTACGCAGAACAATAGCAGAGAGAAGGAAAACTTGACACAAACTCTATACCAACCTGTCTGGCCAGCGTAGTATAGTAGGCCAGGACCTCCTTTCTAAGGAGAGGCTTAGGTCCAGCAGTGGAGTATTAAAGGCTGTTGATGATGATGACACAACAATGAGACACTGGTACTAGCTAGTAGGCTAGTAGAAAGTGTTATTTTCATTTACCCTTTGACCGCCACGTCAATAACGAAAAACTGTGGCTCTACTCCAAGCAACAAATTCCTTGTTTCCAGCTTGATACAGCAGATTTCACAATAAAAAAGTAATTCAACTTTTGAAAATTACAGAATAACCTCGTTTGTAACTACATCCACTGGCCACTCGCAAAACACTAATTGCAGATACAATAATTTATATCTCGAGGTTATTTTCATAAAATATTATTTTTTCTACCGTTGAATATAAATATGCCGTAGAATAAATGTATATACCGTAGAAATCTAAAGCTTCAATTATAAATCTCACCTCTCCTAAATAGTAGTAGTCGAGCGGCATCTGACTCTCCGGGTAGATGTTCTCGAGGTACCAACGGAAGCTTTTGCACTTAAGTCGTTCTCTCAGCGCCCGACGCTCACTGACGTCACCAACAGGTACATTCAGTGCTCCTGCTCGGTACATGACACACTTGGTATTAATATATTTTTGAAAATCCATCTCGATTATCTGATTGTAACCAATAAGTCAGAAATGGTTCTTGTTAATTTAAATTTACGTGTAGAAATTTTGTAAAACTATAAGTATTCATTAAATATGGCGTACTAGTTTCAAGAAACTTCTTCATTCTGCTATGAGGCTTGCGAAGCACTCGTCGAAGCTATAAAGCTATAGAGGTGGAGGTCTAGCTAAAGATTTCAATTATCTATAATTCAACCAATTAGTTTATTTTACCTAAATATGTAAAGTTATATATTTTTTTACAAAAGCTACACATGTTAGTCATGAAGCATGATCGTATTGTATTCAACACAGATGGCAATTTAAAAACAAATGTGATGATTGTGTTAATGATAGGTTAATTTGATAATTACCAAAATAAATACATGCAGAATTCAATCCTTTTGAAAATATCTGTATTCATTTATATTACTTTAACTCTACACCTTGTAGTATATGTATTTTAAACTTTTTACTTCATTCATGATGACTTACAGCTATCCCTAAGATGCAATTCAAACTTGAGACAACACTGACATGAATTTCATTGAAAAAAATGAATATAGAATAATAGAACAGTATCTATTGCTGCGAAGTCTAGGTGAGGTAATCAAATTAGTGATTTAATTTACAGATATTATCTTCAGATTGTATAACAAGTACATATTTATATTTTGTCGGACACAAAATATAAATTAAACATATTAGACAGTAAACAGGATTAATTTCATATTAAACGTATTGTCATGTTTTCTCAAATATAATCAAATTACTAAAATTTTGATCAGAGCACTTTTTATTTATGAATGGTAATTAATCCTGCATAACTGACGGTTACTTACACACGCACGCGCACACATACACACATAACACGCCTATTTTATTTATTTCTGTTATCGTACGGTTTTTTCATGTACCTGTGTGAAAAGAACGCTTATCGCTTAAACTAAATGTTCTGAGTTTAGTCAACCTCGAGGCATTAGGCGCGACAATTTTTCAGCTTGTCACCTGCTTTGCATAAGAAATTGACTTCATAGTTTATGTATACAGTGGAAAACTCAATTGTCGTTTCCGCTCGATAGTGCTAATAGCCACTTTAAATTGTAATGCGAGTTCTACGCTTGTGCATGAATAGATTGCGTGATAAATTACAGTATGTCGAAAATGAAGCAACATATTAGTGTCTTTGTAAAATGAATGATTTTTGAGGAACACTTTTTTGATACTCAATTAGACCTTTTTTAAGATTTAATATTAATTTGAAGTGTATTCAATTATACCGACCTATTTAGGTGTACGACGTTTATTTTAATGATAACTGAATGTATAGACCATGTATGAACCTTTAAAGATTCTTATTCTTAAAGTTAGAATGCCACGAATAGTGACTAAACTAAGAACAGTTACGCTAAGCAAAGCATAGCCATATACCCGGATTAATATTGTAGTAGAAATGCTTCCAGTCATCAAGCCACACTTCAGCGAGGCGCGCGTTGTTGTGGTTGACGACGCGGCCGGTGCCCCCGGGGAACGAGTAGGGCGTCGTCTTGCGGAACACGTGGCCCACGTGCGAGCACGGGGAGATCTCCAGCCGCCCGCCGCACATCCACACCTGGCGCGGCCTCACCGTGTTATATACCCAAGCGGTTACTCAGGAAGGGTGGACTAATATTTATCAACTATTTAAATTGCTTATTTTAAAGTAATGAACAAATCCTAAGATCAGTTTGTGATTCATAAGATACTAAATAGCTACTTCATTTTCAGAGTTGTCATATCGACTGAGTTATAAAATTAGGATACATCCCGTCTTATGTTAGCAGTTCTGCACGGCATCTTCATGCTGTGAATATTCTTTTATTCTTAGTAGATACAATGATAAATATATAACTTAGATTATTCAAACTATCCTTTATACAATTTAAGTGTTACGTAAAATAGACAAAAATGAGAGAGGCCTATGTCCAGCAGTGGACTGCGGTAGGCTGATGATGATGATGATGATGATGATGAAATAGACAATGTGATACAGAGTTATCATGTCAAAAATAAGCAACACCCGTAGTGACGTAATCAAAGTGTAGGCTATTAGGCAATTCGTATTAAATCGAAACAAGTGTGGTATTATTCCTATTCATTCTGTTACGAGAAAAGCAACTGTGTACTTCGGCGAAAATTTGTTTAGTCAGAATAAATATTTACGATATATTTCCTTGCCAGCATTTCTTATACTAGGAAAGGATAACTACTAAGAATAGTTTACGTTTATCATTTTAGGGAATCACGAGATAAATCAACCGCCTAGAATGTCCAATGCGGGTAAAAAAAGAAACAATTTTGAAACAAAACTGATCAATTCACCATTAAATATATAACTGTATAAACATCCTCCCTTCCTGATAATATATTAGCTTGTTCATTGTACACATAAAGATGCTATCACACAGTTAATAGGCTAAGATCCGGCTGCAAAATTAGTGCACTCATCGAGTGTTTGCTAAAAACATTTTTTATTCATAATAATGCCACCAGCCACCACCAGCATTCGAGGCATGCGCAATGGCTTTAAAGAGTCGTACAGCTGGCAATCGCTATGCTCGTCTGACTAGTGATGTTACGCGTTAACTCTTTCAGTCTATCTTAAATATTTAAAATCTTTAACAGCCAGCAACCCTTATTTGCAGTCAGATTTAATAAGGCAAACGTATTTCAACAGAAAAATAGCTTTTATTTGATATAAATATTAAATGTACTTTATGAACGTATAAATGTATCAAAATCATACCTATTCACACATGGCTGCGACGAGGTGCGGCCAAGTACGCCGTGAAGTGGACGATATTTTATTTAAAAAACAAGTGAAATATTTTTTTTCCGAAATATCAATTAATAATAGTTTAATTAAGAATACTAGCGCCCACATTATATATATATATATATATATATTCTACTAACTAATCTTTAATATGCGTAAAAAATTGGTTATTAACAAACACTCGATGAATGCACTAATACTGCAGCCGGATCTCTGACTATAATAGTCAGTGAACGATATAAAACAATTGATTGTTTACACAATTGCACCACTGAGTTAATACCACTGTATGCTCAATAGCAGTCTATAAGTGTGAAATGAAGTTTAAACAGCCGCAGGCAATAATGGATCTCATTAAATATTTTACTTTTGAATAAATTTTATTTTTAGTATTAGGTAATATCTCACTTGCTTGTCAATGTATATATATACCTATTGCTTGTGACTATTCGCGTGTATGTTTGAGATGAGATTAATAAATGTGTTACCACGTTATTAGTAAATAACAGTAACGGTGTTAAAACTGACATAAAATTACTTTGGTTAGTAAGAAGGTTACCTAAACAGGAGCTAGGCTTAGGTAATTGTAATTTCAAAGTGACGCATAAGTCATAACCGAGGATGTCGCGACTAGCCAAGCCACATCTATACGTGTCAGGTTTTTGGTGGCATCATAACGAAGTTAATACGCAGTATATACTTTATTAGTGTGCCAACTAAAAACCGGGCAGAACCTCTCTTTTAAATAATTCTAGGTAATAAAATCAGCTCCTCTTAGTAACCTCACTTAATACCTCGCTTAGTACTTTCATACCTATAGTCAATGCACCTCAGAATTCAAAAATATTAGGTAGATTATTTACGAGCAATGCACATAATGTTACAAAAAGGTGAGGTCAAATTCTAGGAGTTGTGAAGCCGACCGAAATAAAGTCAAACCTCTTGAATAAGAATTGATTTTTCCTTTCTTTTCAAGAGTTTGCCTTAAATGTTACGAGCTTCAAATTTATTTAAGATTTCTCTTATCTCCCACACGACCCTTTTTTGGCGATGGGGTGAAAAAACTGTTCGGATCTCCGGTTGCTAGTGGACGTAGGAGCCAGGTCTTTACACGACCTTAAATTATGATCCCAATGTAAGATTATGTACTTATAAGTAATCTTTTAGTTGTCATTCATATGTTTATTTGACTATAGATATAAAACATTGTGTTTAATAAAAAAAGTTAAATTCCATAAATTCTATAAATTAAGATTAGGTAATGAGACTGCTGTTAGAAGTAGCCCTCAGTTAAGCCGTTGCATGACATCTTGTTATGATTTTCGAGATCAATGCAATATAAACACACACGCATGCGTTGTGTTCAGTTTATATTTGAAATCAAAACATTATAGACACTGTTGCTGTGTTTTGTGGCTAGGCGACCAGTAATAGATATAGTAATAATTAAACAGACTGGAGTTTGTTCCATTCTATGCTAAATTGATAAGAGAAAAAGAGAGATTTTGATATGCATTCATTCATATAAAGGGATTCAAGAAATGATCATCGTAGGTCGAGTATGTTTACGGGACAGTCTACTTCGAGTTTAGGTTTTGTTCTCGAACCATGATAATTTAATTTAGGAGCAACCTATACCAGCATTCTTGCAGGTCATACGGTCAACTCACCTAATCTAATAGGAACATTAGTCATTCAAGCACATCTAGATTGCCTTGAATCGTTTGTTATAAATTTAATGTTTAGAAGACGAGAGGGCAACAGCAATTGCATAATAACCGCGAATATATAATTGGAAGAATTGAAAATTATAGTGAACTATAAGATGAAGAAAACGTATTGTTTGTTTGATAGAGCTCACAATAACTACTGTATTCATCCGATGGTCTAATAGTCCTCAGAGTCTAACATTTAGTAAATCAAAGTAGCAACTTAATGCAAACGCACTCATAATAGACATGTTCCCTTAAAGCATTAAAACAGTAGGCACTTCTAACAGCAACCTAACATTAGTTGCACACATATAAAAAAATATACACACATACATTATAAATATTAAACAGGAAATAGGAGACGATATGTTTCTGTTTTTTTTTTTCTTTAATCTATTTCCTTTTCGTTTATCGGTTATTATAGTACACATAATTCTATTAAGCCATGATAAGACCAGTAGAGGCAAATGATATAATTATACAGATAATTAAAATATATAATTATTATTAAATATAATTAATTGATGAAGATGAAAACATGAGAAAATAAAAACTCAAACCCGCTTCTGATATAAAAAGACAGTTAGTGTTTTATACTCCGATCATAGTTATAACACTACAAGCGCTTAGTATATTTTGACTGGTGAATAGAATACAACATTATAGCTTTCTTTCTTTCTTTATTTTGATATTAGTCTTTACCTATGATGTTGGAGATTCGTATAGAAATTTTAAAAGGATCAAAATTTGGGTTATTTTGTATGAACTAATCAAAGTACTGGCTCAAATTGTCTATACAATTTTGCCATTATGTTTGCTGTTTGTTTATCCCTTTACAGTAGAAGTCTGCCGGACGGGAGGCGATGAAAGCTTTTTGTACTGGATCTCGGGTGTTGAATTTTCAGTCCGTTACATAAAACAACTACGCCATTCGGTCGTGGAAATTTTGAAAAAAGTAGAAATCTGTTTGGGCAATGTCCGGTAACCCAATGTGGGTGACGGAGAGCTTCCAGGTCTTACTCTTGTAGCTTTGCGATGGTCTGTCGTGAAGTGTGAGCTCGCGCGCTGTCGTGGAGAAACAATAGATAAAGGGCGATTGACCAGTCGTGATTGCTGAATTGCGAGCTTTTCCATCATAGTTTGTCATGCTTGGCAATAGACATCTGCCGTCCGTGTTACATTCGGTAAGAACCTGTGATGTACAAGTTCGGCATTGGTCTAACAGACAGTCGCCATCATCTTCCTATTGGTAATCTTTTTTTTAGCGCAATGATTAGGTCCTGTACCCGGTTCCATCCACTTTTTTCGCAGGAAACAATTCGATACAGAATTCTCTCGTTTCTATGCTGATTCAGTAGTGCTATGCATGCTGCGACGCGTAAGTCTCGCGCTGATGGTCGCTTAGTTCGTGGTGCACCCACTCTAGCTTTTTTATTTTCGATTTGACGCAAATACTTCAATGTTGTATTGACACTAACTCCAGAGCCCGCAGCAAGCTCAGTAGATTGAGTTGGATTCGCTTCCACTACCGTGTTTATGCAAGCAGTGTTAGGCCCGTACACGTCATAAATGATTCTTGTTGTTTGCGCAGCGGTATTGCCACGTAGAAACTCATATTCGAAAATTGTACGAATTTTTCGATTATCCATGGCACCAAAAACTACTACAATTTCACAAACACAAAACACTGTCTAAAACAAATGACTAAAATTTAAATAACATCATAAAATCTGAAATTGCTGGTTTTAAAAATCTTCAACTTCATAGGTAAAATTACCCATTACTGCCTGCAAATATATTACATAAGGCAGACTTATTAGCATAGGCATTTTTTACAGTCGACCTTTGGGTGATGCAGAGCTGAGTGTGGCAGATGTATAATTTAAGCTCATCATTAGATAAATTACTAATTAATACTATAGCCTATAAAATGTTTAGTTTGATTATCTGTAAATAAATATGTGTCCGTCTATAAATCGTGGTGTTTATAAGTTTCGTATTATTGTGGCGATACTTAATCGTCGGACATAGAAGTAGACAGTTAGACAGCTGATTTTGTTATATAAAAGTTGCGAGCAAATGTTTTTCTTTTTAATATTTTGAAAATAAATTGATTGCATATACGAGTATAAGTGTATCTCAGAACGATATTTTTTGTTAATTAATATCATTTGCCTCAACACATTGCCTACAAAGGATTGCTGTGGTTAAACTTAATCAGTAGTAGTGACCGCAATTATTACTCATTGCTTCTGCATTGAGAAGAAGCAGAAAATAAAAGTTAGAAATTAAAAACAGTACAGCAAACAGAAAGAAAATCGTCTATCAGAATTAGTAGAACACAAAAATATCAATTGTATAAATCAGATACAAAATCACAAAGCAACGTAATCTTGTTAGTGAAACATCACAATCCATCAAGAGTAAAAACCATACAAGATAAACCTTCCTTGGCAGTCGGGTAAAAAATATGATTAAACTTTAATAACTTTAATAAGATGCTAGATAGTAGAAAAACACAGAATATAAAGAAGCAATGAGGCTATGACGAATGGAAAAAATGTTCATGCTAAGAGTACATGAATGCAGCTGCAATGGGGTTAATGTTAAAAGCTGTCTTGAGCTGTTCAAATGTAAATGAGATCCTACTTTTTCAATTGTTAGTGTAATATCCCAAGCCACAACAAAACTTTATTATAGTACCCTCACTTTTATCATTTTGCAATTAAAGGACGCAAAGTATTGAACTGGCGTATTACTTTTTTTTTAATATGACCCAATCTTGAATCTTATATTGTACGTTATTGACCTGTTTATTATATTTTATTTTTAGGTATGTCGAAAATATAAGATCCAAGAGCAAAATGTAAAAAATGTCGGCACACAGTTCGTAAATCGAACCTGGATTCATGGCGTAATAGAACTCTCCCCACTCGTCCATCCAGACTTCGGCGACACGTGCAGCATTGTGAAGGACGACATTCTGTACTCCGCCGGGGAAGGAGTACGGCGACTTGTCGCGGAACACGTGCCCAACGTGGGAGCACGGCACGATCTCCAGGATCCCTCCACACTGCCATACCTTCACGCACCCCACAAATATTTATTATATCCCAAAATTACTGTGCTCTGTGTAATAAGACGCTAAATATAATAATATAGACCCTGATCTCAGAAATACCATGCTCATTATAACACAATATTTCAGGTATCAGATACGGATGTCTCTTTCTGTATCTAAAATTTACCCTGAAGCTCATCTCGAGGTTCTCTCCGCCCCAAATGTCCATGCCCTGATCGTAGGATCCAATTTTGTAGAAATAATCCTTATCAATAGCAAATAGTCCACCAGCCATTGTCGGAGTGCGAAGAGGCGAAGTGCGATCGCCGCCCCGTCGCTCCATCTCACGTTCTGGGACGCGATACCTATGAGTATAAATAATATACCTATATTAGTTACAAATATACAATACAAGGTTAAAACAGGAAAAATAAATACGTTTAAAAAAAATTAAAACAGAGACAAAGGTTTAACAATTCCGAAGACATTGACGTTTTTATTCTTTGGAAGTAATAGGATAGGGGTCTACAGTTCTGTTGAGAAAATCGAATAAGCTGGCAACTGGCAGCTGTACAAATAGTATCTGTGACCAGTTTACTACGAGGACAATGTTCACATAATTGTAAATAAACCTTGTATACATTTACATCTTACATACTCTGTGTAAAACAACGTGACCTGTACCAAAAACACAATGTGTATCATAAAACTGTTTAATAAACGATTGCATCCCCAAACTGACATATGAATTAAAGTAACCAAACAGAAAATACCAAAACAATACATTTGGAGACACTTGTGTAAATATTGTATTTCGTTCTTCAATTTTTTACTCTGAAAGTAGTTGTAAAAGCTTAATTTTACTACTAAAAGGTCTTTCCGATATGATAATAACTGTGATGTGTTGATGTTCACTTAATATTTTCATCGCTGTACGGCGAACTAACTACCAAACTACGTCTACACTCGTAGTACGGCAAACAGAAACTATCTTGCTTATTGCGATATGTTTACTAGTAAATGTTTTACTAGAAATAAATTATAGTTTTCTTTTTTATTTAAAATTACAGAAAAAACAAAAACGCGGCTGCAGTGTAATGCTGTTATCAATTAGAAAGTTAGTTAGGAACAAAAATTAATTATAACTTACAACTTGTTATGGTATAATAATTGTATTTTCAACGTTTACTCGTAAATTCTAATTTAGTCTTGTTTAATTGTTGTTTGCCTATTTATTTATTTTTCTATAGTTAAGTAAGATACTGGACCAATGGACTAATCTTACTTTTCAAAGAAGCAAATGGTACATTTACTTAACTTTTTTTCTCTTTTCTTACCTTACTATTTATTTTTCTATTTTTCATTTTATATTTAAAGTTTAAACTACATGACTGTAAGTTTCGATAGAAAATGAGTGCAAAAAAAAATTTACATAGTGGACATAACTCAAAAATTCTAAATCTAAATTCTAACATACGGTCTCTTTAAATATCCGTTGCAGGAGTGGGTCGTGCAACAATACTGTAAAAGTTAATAATTATCGAACTAATCGAGGAGTTTTATAGCACGACTACATACGCAAACAATGGGACGCGGCGGTTACGCGATCGTAATAATTTGTAAAACAATACGCACATATCGAACGACCGTGTCGGCTGTACGGAATAGTAGCTATACTAAAATGTTATTTTATATTGAACCAGGTGTTTTACACAGATTATTATCGATTCGGTTATTTAATACGAACAGAGTAAGAAACCCCGTTACGATAAATTTAGCATAATTATATTATATATTTTTTTAAACGTGTTGTGTAGTTTATTGGGCCTTGAAAATCATCATCCGTTCTTCCTGACTTGATTGTATTTTTTTTTTGGTTTGATCTTAATTTTATTCATGGACTCATAAACCGTGATTTGAAAGAAAAATCAACAGAATCATTTTTTATCAAAAAAAACTATTTTTGTATTGTAACAGTATTTTAATTCAAAATGCTAAGAGTATTGCGACAATTATTTGGCAATCATGTTTGTGTCAATCACATTATTGTACAAGAAAGTGTTAAGCAAAGATTGTGATTAGATATATTCGTATAAGTTTTACTTTAATATTTTTACATTATTATATATGCATTATCATATTACAAACATAAACAACTGCGTAAATTTAAAATGTTATTGATTTACTTTACATTAATACATACTACACTCATGTCTTCTATCCTCTAAGGCAAGTCAATACAAATACAATGGTAACAAAAAAATAAACCTACATTTATTTTAGAGCAATAGCTTCATTTGAAAACGAATTCTTTTTTTTAAAGAAGCACTAGGAATAGATCCTGTGTCGCGGGGACTTTTACAGGCATACATGAAACGGGCACAAGAAACACCCAGACCAAGAACAAAAATGTATGGCGCACACAATGTGTTGTCCCGTGTGGTGATCGAACTCACAACACTAAAAGAAAGCGGCGAGGTGACCGCTTAAACCACTACGCCATCCGTGGAGAAGTAAATAATTAGAGGTTAAAAAAAAGAAAAAACCTAATACATTGTCTTTATGAGAGTGATCGGGCATACGATCTAATCGATTTCGGATCGGATAAACAAAACCAAACAAAAAACAAACTACTTACCATCTAAAGTTAAGTTTCCAGTTGAAGCCACCCCACGTCATATCCGACGCTTGAATGTACTCGAACGTAGTGTCCGATATCACGTCAATTATAGGACACACCACCGTCGTTCTGTCTTCTACTATTCTTGCTAGAAGAGGTTCTAACCAGCCCTCTAGAAAATAAAAACATGTTTTGGAAAGCAGTTATTATACCTACATATCTAATACTATAAATCTGAAGAGTTTGTTTGTTTGTTTGGTTGGTCGAATGAGCTAATCTCAGGAAGTACTCGTTCGAATTGGAAAATTGTTTTAGTGTTGGATAGCCCACTTATCAAGGAAGACTAAAGGCTTTTTATGAAGTTACGCTTCGACCAATACGAGCCAGGCATCAATAAAAAATGATGCGATGATGAAACGGACAAGCGTCTTTTGTTTTTTTTTAATATGTGAAAGTATTTAAGTAACTCCGAATTTTAAATATTTTTTAGCAACTAGCATTATTTTGTGTGCTTATAGATACTAGATTCTGTATTTTGGTAATTGATAATGAATTTAAAAACAAAATCTGTATTCTCTTATGGGACCAAGAGCTTCATCTGGCCTCTTAAACATCCGCTATTACGTATTAATAATCTATCTCCTGTAGGTCTGAAAAGAAACTACAAAGATATTGTTCACACCTAGAAGTACGAGTATTTAGGACACATGAGTAAATAACTGTAAATGCGATAGAGATCTATGTGTACTTTCGTCACTGCTGTTCTATCAAAATTATGTCTGTTTTTGCAAATTCAGTACATTGCCTATGAAAGACTTGATTAGATATGCATTTGTTGCCGGTAATCTTCAGTTGATGCAGACATATATCATGTGGCAAGTTAAGAGTATTTGTAAGGAAATTACATGTAATAATTACAATAATAATATTAACCTCACACATCTCACATACGGCTGTCTGATTCCAAACTAAGCAGAGCCTGTAATATGGTAACCAGACTGCTAATAAACATACTTGAATATTTTTAATATTATTGTAATCACACAATATTTGTCCTGGGTGGGAATCGACCCCACGACCTCCGACTTAGCAGTCAGGGTCCTGGGCCCGTCATTAAAATCAACAATAAAATCACTCATGTCTGTATTACCAAAGTACCAGGAGTATGTAAACCACTTAGATAGATTCATGACATAGATTTTTATCTTATTTTTCAAAGAATACATATTTTTTTACAAATTTATTTATTTTTCCCATTATTAACCATTTACTTCGGCCCAGTTTGTTATCTACAATTTTAGTAATTGAAATTATAAAATAATTTATCAACTACACAAAAACAGTTAAAAGGCATAAAATAAAGGATATAAGTTTAAAAAAAAAATTATTAGGCCAAATTTCGGCGACTTTTTTTTTAAATCTTAAAAGTGCAATATTTTGGAAATTGTTATTTTACGGATATCGTATTTCATAGTGAAATCTATCAGAAATGATTGAAACTACAACCCCTTAAAGTATTTAGGTCGACTTACACAGTAACCCTGTATATCGAAAAGAAAAGTTTTTTTAGCTGAAGCCAACCACCACCGTAATCGTACGGTGGCGTTATTGCACAATATACACACAAAACACAGCGACACACAAACAAAATCGCATTTCGTTTTTAATTTTGACTGTACATATATAACAGTGTATTTACGCTTCAAATATTATTTCAAAATATAAATAAAAGTACATTTAGATAGGAGTACACACATGAAACATTCTTGCCATTTTAATAAATAACAGTAAGCTAATAAATTTAACATTACTGCTATACTAATCGCTGATCAGAGATAAAAGAATTACAAATTCAAACGTTCACTCATTGCCGAAAGTAAAGGCGGAAGACAAAAATACTTTACAATGAAATTTAATTATGAGTATGAGTTCAGAACTCTTTAATGAACTTGTTCTAGATTTGTCTAGAAGGAGATTATGGCATAGTTTTTAATGTGATGTTTCACGTGTAACGGGACGGGACTGTGTTGTGCATGCATGAATGAGTAAGTAATGTACAGTGCAACGCTCTAAGCATTTCGCATCATAAGTGAACTTAACATGAGCCATGGTATTACAAAAAAAAAACAATGATAAGAACAGAATTACAAGACTCATGAGCAGTGGTTGGAAATAGTAGTCAGTGTAACTATTTTATTTTGTTGGTATTTTGCACTGTCGTCAACATTATATGATTACTATTTTTCGTCAGATTGTATTCTTCTAGCGATTTCAACGTTCATTGGGTGGCATTTAATCGTTCTATTATCGCTATCGTTTAGTATTTGAAATTACAAACTTAGTTGTATAAATCTTAAATAAAAATTAATCACTAAACTGGTGACGGATTAAGAACACAGAGTGTCACCACCCCTATTCATCCCGTGGGTGTCGTAAGAGCCGACTAAGGGAAAAAACTACGCAGGACAACAGCACTGCAGAGAGAAGGAAAACTTGACACAAACCCTATACCAACTCGTCTGGCCAGCGTGGTATAGTAGGCCAAAACCTCCTTTCTAAGGAGAGGCTTATGTCCAGCAGTGGACTATTAAAGGCTGTTGATGATGATGATGATGATCACTAAATGTGTTGCTCAGTGCAAAACTCGAGAACGGCTCTTACGGAGGATATTCTTTGTTAAGGTACAAGGAAAGCTTTTATGGAGAAAAAACGTAAAAATAGCGTGAAAAACCAAGACACATTAGAGTAAATTATAACACCTGTCCATAGCAGTCTAACATTTGACTCAAGACTCAAGTTCCCTAATTAGGCTTTTAGCCAGGTATTTCATTAGGTTTTTTTCTTTATGTTTCTGAACCCCCAAACTGACACGCACAATAATCCATCAGGATGTCTAAAACAGACCGTTCCACCTATCGAAACAACATCGTGATCTCAGTGGGGCGTAATAGTATCCCTTTGTCAATTTGGAAGACAAACAAAATCAGTCTTTACGTCTCAGGCCATTGCTTATGGGGTACGGAGATCATTAATTGCTCTTAGGTGCATGGTGTGATCTCAGTGAAACAGGATAGTATTGATTCCCTTCTGCTGCCCTAGCCCGTGAGCCTCATCTCATGTTACACATAAGTTTTGTAGAAATTTACTTTTCTCTTTACAGGAGTACTGAAAGCATATTTATATCAAAATTGATACTTATTTTTTTTTCTTTATATGGTATGGATACCAATAATTACGCATTTCGAGTACAAACAAACATTTGTCAACTGTAGTACTTGTATATTTTTTACGTTAGAATAATTCTTGTAGAAAAGTGATTACTCTGTTTGTCACAACTCTGAAGAGATAATTTACATGACTACATGTTTTCAAAGCAAATGATAACATCCAGAATTAAAGAAATATTATAAAAAATCAGGCCCCAACTTCGTAATCGGTCGTAATCCCAACAACTTTAACGATGAAACAATCCTGAAGTCATTTTAATTGTTAGCTTCCAAACTTGTACATTTTTTCCCAGAGATTAAAAAAAGTAATTTTAAGTCTCGCGAAAAAATATTAACTTTCTATTTACAACGAGAGGGAGAAAGATCAGACAGACAAAAGCATTATTTATATACGTACGTCGATATGCTCGAGTAACTTAATAAGCATGCACTATTTGTGTTCTACTTTAATAATAAAAACACATCAGATATAAAAAATATTGTTTTTAATTACCTGTGCATTCGCAATGTGCATCAAGAAAGGTGATGACGTCACCCTTGACGTGCTTGGCGCCAAGTAGACGAGCTCGAATAAGGCCGGATCTGTTCTCCGTACGGAACAAATGTGTAGGCACTGGTAATGTCTTTATGTAGTCTACGAGTTTCTGGCCAAGATGTTCTGCGAAAATAAAAACATTATTAATAAACATAGTTTGATACGAAATTTGAATGTTTCAGATAAAAGTAGAAATTTGCCCTACACTGGATGCCGTAGTCAATTACTGAACATAATGATTTTTTTTTTTAAATAAATGCGCGTACCTATTCGAAAAGTACGAAGAAATAAAGATTCGCTTCCCATGTAGATGCAAAGACACCTGCCCGGGCGCTAGACATATTTTTGCTGTTAGTTAATTCCTTTAGTACCTACTAATTAGGTACTGAGCTCTGTGTAGCTACGTTTATAAGTATAACCCACGGGAGCAAATACCAATAAGAGGAGACTGTGCACTGTGATTCTAAGTAGGTCCTGGCGTCATCACAGTGGGCGTGACTAAAATTAGTACACTTACCGTCCGTACTGTGCGCTTGTGTCGCAAAATCGCAAATCGGTATATTTTCGTGGTATTAAGAAGAAGTGGAGACGGATTAAGAATACGGAATATAACCACCCCTATTCATCCTGTGGGTGTCGTAAGAGCCGACTAAGGGAGCAAATCACGCAGGACAACAGCACTGCAAAGAGAAGGAAAACTTGAAACAAACCCTGTAATAACCCGTCTGGCCAGCGTGGTATAGTAGGCCAGAAACTCCTTTCTAAGGGGAGGCCTATGTCTAGCAGTGGACTAGTAAAAGTTGTTGATGTGATGTGATGTGTTTCGCATTTCGTAAAAGTCTACCCAAGAAATGGTAATTTATGAGCTATACCCACGGAGCAGCAAATATAAAGAGGTGTTGTTATTAGATTTCCCTATCAAACAACGCGTGACATTTTGAGGGGTGATAGTATACTAAAATGGGTGAAAATCATAACACTCTTTTCCGTAGTGAGGTCTTTCAACACTCTTTTCTCCGTAGTGGGGTGACAATAGTACAAAAAAGTAGTCGTACACATAAATACAGATACACTGCCGGCCAAAAGTTTAAGACCACATTTAAACAACATAATTATCTATGGATTGTAACGAAATCCCATAAGATAAATAAAAGAAATGTACACCTGCATATTCTATTGTTAATATCGAATATCTAGAAAAGTCATTCTTTTATTTAGTTTCAAGTTATTGGACAATAAACACGTATTGTTTTCAAACACCGACAAACGCTGCGTTAGAGCCAGATGGTAGAATCGTAATAATATTTTGTTGATGTGCTAATAACTAATTGCTTTACTTTCGTTTCCCATTTGTCAATAATAAGGATTATTAAGCTTCTAAAAACACAACTTATTACCTGAGTTTACATGGGCTTGTTCTCAAACAATCTCAATTAGTATAAACTTGTGGTTTCTAAGGTGAAGACGTCTTAAAATAGGAAAAGCACGCGAAATTAGCAGTGAAGTGCTTCTGCCATCGTTGTTTTAGATAATGACAAATCCGAACGTGAGATTGCTTTACAATTGTAGTTATCGAAGACTTGTGTTCATGGCACAATAACTCGATACAGGGAGACAGGCAGTTTTCAAGATCGTCCACGCTTGGGAAGGCCGAGAGCTACCACGTCAGGTGAAGATCATTTTATTGTTGTTACCATCAAGCGAAATAGACGTTTAACAGCACCAGAAATCCGTTGAAGTAAACAAAACCCGAGTTAAACCTTTATCATTGACAACAGTAAAACGGCGACTGAGAGATGCGATGTTGTATGGTCGCGTCGCCGTTCGAAAACCTCTGCTACGGCCACAAAACAAAAATAAACGGATGCAGTAGGCCTTTGCCATCGAGATTGGACTGAAGAAAATATTTCAAAAGTTCTTTGAACAGTCCCAACAATAATAATAATAATATAATAATATTCCACCACATACACACGACGCCATCTAGTCCCAAACTAAGGAGAGCTTGTACTATGGGTACTAGACAACTGATATAAATACATATTTACTTTTTTTTGTAAATACATACATATTATACATAGAAACACCCAGACCAAATCAAACATCAAATGTTCATGCACACAAATGTTTGACTTGAGCGGGAATCGAAACCGTGACCTTTGGAATAGCAGTCCGTTACACAAACCACTACGCCATCCGGTCGTCAAGCATGGTGGTGGCTCGATTATGGTCTGGAGTTGCTTTTCTAGCCAAGGAACTGGTGATTTGATCAAAATAGACGGAATTATGAAAAAGGAACAGTACAAAAAAAAATTAGAACAAAATGCCGTTCTTTCGGGGTTGCGATTAATTGGAGATGAATTCATTTTCCAACAGGACAATGATTTTAAGCATAGCTCAAAATCATATAGAGGATATTTGGAAGAGAAAGAGGCACAAGAGGTGTTAAAAAACATGGTTTGGCCTCCTCAGAGCGCGGATCTCAATCCCATTGAACTGTTGTGGGAAGAGCTTGATAGGAACGTCCGTAATTATGAGAAGCGAGAAGAAATGTGGAATGCTTTATGCGCAAGTTGTAGCAATATATCACGAGACACTATCAACAAATTGATAGCTCGTATGCAGAGACTTGTGAAAAAAGTCATAGAATATGAAGGAGGATATTTTGATGAAAAATCAGTTAAGAAAAATCACTTTAGCTCACTATAGCCTTTTTTAGCATGAACTGTTAATATTTCTTTACGCTTTACAAGTATATTGATTGTCAAAAAGTGTTTTATTGGATGATTTAACAGTTTAATTAAACATTTAATATTGTATTGGAGTTTTATTTCATTTACCTACTTTAATTAAGATGGTCTTAAACTTTTGGCCTACATTGTAAAATAAGAATAAATAAGATAACAAATTTCAATCGTTATTCGTAATTTACCACATACGTTTTTATCCTCGCACTAGCAATACCCAGCGCCTATAAGTCCAGGGCCTCAATTCTGCTATTTTATGTTTACGCCAAGCCACTGTCATACCACTGACACGCTATTGAGATGCCATCGAGTGGCCATTGGCATCGGTATAAATATCGCTAGTACAAAACATATTAGGTTTTTTTGAGGAAATGGTTTATTTATTTTTATTATGGCTCGATGGCATCTCAATAACGTGTCAGTGGTATGACAGTGGCGTGGCGTGAACATAAAATAGCAGAATTGAGGCCCAGGTAATAATCTATCTATATACTACATTTTATCCGAATCCGTCCAGCCGTTTCAGCGTGAAAAAAAACACATACACAGTACTTAGAACTTAGAAGAACACAAACTTTCGCTTTTATAATATTAGGGAGGTTAGTACGATTATAATATGACTGAGACTTTTGCAATAGATGAAGGTATCAGATGGTACAGAAAATAAATCTTAAAAAAACTTACTGGTACAAAAATTCTGAGTACGTCCCTTGAATTCTACACTAAGTGTGATATAGCTAAACTAAATAGCAACATCGACACAGAACGATGCGAGTACTTTTGCTATTATTTGGTAGATGGAAAAAAGTGAAGTGGCCGGAGCACACCCCCTCACCCCGCAAATTATCACGCGTTGTTTCATAGGGAAATAGAATTACAACACCTCCTCTTTGTATTTGCTCCGTGGTATAATCAACACGATACATTGACCTTCAAGAAAAATGCTCTAGACATGAAAAACTTTAGGAATCATTTTTTGCTCAAATAAATACTTAAGGTAGCTGGGATTGGATGGATGCGAACATTAGGATAGGCTCTAATAGGCTAATTGATTGAAATACTTACAATTTTACTATGTGGAATATTTTTAATTACCCTAGTTTCACTCAACCCTAAAACCATTATTGATTACCTACGCCCTTGTTGATCAATAGTACCCTCTTTGAAAGATAAATTTAATAGAGTAGTACTCAATATGTCAACTTAAAACAAGTGAGTCAGACATTGACTAGTCAATGAATAGACGGAAGTTAGTTCCAGCCTCCGTTATACTTTACTATTGAGATTAAACATTAATACATATCAATTATCTTGTGAAAGGAATGACATTCAAATTCGAAGGAAGGATAATATTTGTATAACAGCGGTTCAAGCTGCATTCAATCATAAAAATATTATTAAAGAAAAGTTCACATGGAGGCAATAATGTATTTGTAATAAAAATATTTACTGTCTGTTTGTCAAGATTCTTTTTATTTGATTTAATTCAAGATCTTTAAGCAAGTTATAGAGGGATTGAGTTGGTATACCCGTCGCACCCACTATCACGGCATACAAGGTAATAGCGATTTCTAGCTATTTCGTTGGTTTATAATATTTGATATTAGTAGGTTTTATTAGTATGTTTTTAATGTTTCCGATACTTTGTTTGTTTTGTAGACGAAGTCAATCGTAACACGCAAAAAAAAACCTACATTGGGGCGGAACTTCTATGTATAGAGACTGCTATCACATCTACATATATGGCATCATCATCATCTCAGCCGAAAGACGTCTCAACAACCGGTCCTGTGCTGCCCGCATCCAACGACTTCCCCCATGTATATGTGTATAACGATTCGATAGCTGTATTGGTTTGGATACGAACGACCAGGGCCGTAATTCTGCTATTTCATGTTAACGTACAAGCCACTGTCATTCCAGTGACACGCTTTTGAGATGCCATTGACATCGGTCAAATATTCTACTAACATATATTCAGAGTGTCAATAGACTGTGGATGTAGTGACAATGGCTCACTAATGGTGTTATTACCAACATTGTCATATCTGGTAAATTAAATATATCATTTCCTTACAAATTTAAAATGTACCGTTTACCAAACTATTACAAAGACATCGACGACATTTGCATCAGTGGCAGTTCAGTGACAAGTCATCGGGAGACCATTGGTCTTACATAGTTAGTAGAATACGAAAACTTTAAAACTATTCAGACGACATTCCATCGACAGCCTAATGATACAATTCTTAAAAAGCAGAATTGAGGCCCAGCTGCTATGGCACACGTTAGTATAGCCGGCGGACTTGTTTAATAACTTAATACTAATTTCACAGTCGGATGAATTATTGTCATTTTTACAGCAAACAACTTTCAACTCGATTTTATCTATTATGGTTTTTAGATGTAGAACTCGTCATTTACTTAGCAGCCTTCGTGAGTTATTGTAGTTTTTATACGCTTTATAGTAACAACACATGTATGCATGATACATGTACACCTACATGTGTTGATATACTCGTACACACTTATAATTAAATGTAGTAGCAACTCGAATTGCACCCACTTCCAGACTTACGTTATAACTTATTGGAATAAGTTAGTAAAAGCGGCTCGCCTTATATTGAGCGGCGCTCTATAAATATTTGTAACACCGGTTATTCTAACTTTGCTACCGCTATCTCATAACTCATATTTAAGAAAATGTCATTTGTTCTGTATAATAATTTATTATAGTAATACAACATAATACCAATAGTGGTTACCAGCACCACTACAATAAGTAGTATAGTAGTAGTAGTATAAGTTTCAACAATTAAATTATATTCAACACGAATATAATTTAATTGTTGAAACTTATTCATTATCAAATTAAGATCCAGGAGTACGCCGGAGTGGCAGGAAAAATACTAAAAGATCCAAAATAACGACGATAGATTAATGTAATGTAAATTACAAGTTAAAAAATTGGCTAGCTTGTTTTATCAGAAATATAATCAATATTATCAAAACAATCAGGACTTCAACAACGCAATAACTTAATAGCATTGAGTGAAAGTTTTGAAAAAATATAAAAAAGTGATAATTGGTGACCATAAATAGTGAAGCCAAATAAATTTACACATACGTACCCTTTTCACTGGCGTCATCCACAAGTATGATCTCTTTGAGGAGTGGGCGAGGCGAACGGTTGATCGTACTCCATATTGTACGTATGAGAGTCGTCCATGCTTCATTGTGAAACACTATCACCACACTCGTCGTAGGCAGTAACTCTGGATATTTTTTGGTTTTGCACCTGGGGGAAAAGTATTAGATTCGATGAATATTTTATTTTTTATTTAATTCATACGTTTATAAGTTTTTATAAGTATTTATATTTATAAAAACGAATGCTGTTCGCACCACTTGTTTTTTTTTCTAAATTTGATTTTAAAATAATCCCAATAATAGAAGTGTGCGTTTCCCCAGCTTCCTGCTACACACTTCTATCCCTGTTCACGATGATTTCGTTACCACAGATTGTAAAAAAGTGAAAGTCGAAGGAGAGATGTTACACATCAATAATAATAATAATAATAAGGTTTATTTGTCTCAAAAAGGTAAATAGGTACACAGGTTTGTTATGCTACTATAATAAAAATAACATACATGACACCTTAGTGAGAGCTGGAGTTTGTAGTAGGTTCGAAACCTGTGTGACAAATCTCCAGGCTCCCACCTTAGCGATACAGATGCAATACATATACATGTAGATTTTGAGCAACGTGATACATTTTTTATTTTTATTTTTTAATTCAAAATATAATTAAAAAAGGTAAGAAGAATTAGAAATTAGTGTATGCGTGCGTGTGTGTGTGTGTTGAGTGTGTGTGCGTGTGTGTGTGTTTGTGTATGCGCATGAGTGACAGTACTTATTTTAAAGTACAGATTATCTTTTCTGTTTCGTCATAATCCAAATCAATCAACCACTTGGTAACAGCTTTTTTACATTGAAATTTAGTCATTGGGTACACATTCAGGATTTTGTTAACTTTGTTGTACAAATAGTTACCAAAGTGGTAAAAACATCGCTGTGCTAATCTTGTTCTGACCGGGTTTGACGGGTATACAGTATACTTTCGACGAACAGACTTAAATTTCGAAGGATCATAGGAGTCTGAGAGTGTGTCGTAAGAATAACGGAGAGGATAAATAGTTTACGGACAGAGAGCACATCAGTGGTCGGGAAACGGTATGGTAGCCTCCAACCAACTTTTAGTACCGCCCTTTGGGCACGCTCCAATTTAAGGAGATATGTTTTATCTGCACCTCCCCAGGCAACGATGCAGTACTGCGTCAGAGACTGGCAAAGAGCAAGATAGGTGGTCCTAAGTATTTGTGTATCAGCTACCTGACCGAGAGTTTTAAAGACAAATATGAGCTTTCGTAGTCTGGAGGATAGTGCGTCTATGTGTGAGTGGAAGGAGAGAGTGTCGTCAATCTGTACCCCTAGATATTTAATGCAATAATGCATTCACGGATGGCGTAGTGGTTTAAGCGGTCGCCACCCGCTTCCTACTACGCTGAGTGTCATGGGTTTGCTCCCCTCATGGGACGAACCCACATTTGTGTGATTCACAAATTGTTGTTCTGAGTCTGGGTGTTACTCGTGTCCGGTTCATGTATGTTTTCATTGTGACCTGCAACACAGGTTATATTCCGAAAGCGTGAGTTGTGTTTAAAAAAAAGTCATATGAAACCATGTTCTTAAAAATCCCTGTTACATGGTCGCTACGTTATTTATGACCAGGCACTGAAACGAGTTCAAACGAGGCGATTCTCAATTCGACAGATTTTTTGTGTATGTAACGCAATGTCAGCCAATAGAAAAAAAAATCAATTTAAAAATGGGATGAATACAACAGCTGGAATTGTATTTGGCTGATGACAAAAAACTTATCACTGGTAATAAACCAACGTTTGTACACACTGAACCAATCTCCTCTATTGGCCTAGACACAACCTGTTTTATCTTTGTGAAAAAAATTATGAACAAAAATCGCTCATCAAGATAAATTAGTATTGAACCTTGTGTCTAGTCATCGAAATGTTTGGGTATAAAAATCTTAGGCGTTAGTCATGACACTCATGACATGGCACGAAATTCGAAATTGCTTCAAACTGTTACTTGCTAATATCAGTATTAACCAAACATGTTGTTTTACGCCATCTTCCGCTCAACTAACTTTGACGTGAGAAGTAGTAATCGTAAGACAAAATTCAGTCAAAAATGGAATTACCGTATCGAAATCCTTTCATTAATTATGTTATCTTTTGGTACACATCATTCTATTGTGTATAAAATATACACACATTATAATCTTACACGAGTAATAAGGTCAAGTACATTAGAACAAAAAAACCTGAATCACGATATGTCATTGCCACGTGTTCCTACTCGCATGATAATATTTGGCTTTTAACATATTGCCATTGACTCTCAAGAGTCCAGTCACATCGCCAACACTTGTGTACGCTCTGCCTAACATATGGGTTTTGTATTTCGCACCGCAGTTCTTTCTTTCTTATTTCTGTCTTTTAGTTGTAAAACAAGAAAAGTTTTATTGCAGTTACCTCATTATGGATCACTGTGAGTATCGTACCCGTTTATTAGCAAAAGACGACTTGTCGTAGAAACGAGATATTCGAGGCAGGCAGACAGGTTAGAGCAACAGAGGGGAAAGTTTCAGAGATTCTCTAGATATAATAGTATGCAGCCTAACAAAAACTGACATCATCATTAGCAAAGAGCTCTTAAAGGCCAAAAAAAAACGAGAATGCTTAGAAAAAAATTGTGTGGCAGAAGTACAAAATAACTGTTAGTAGGTTCTTACTACAAATTGCACTGTTACTGTATCCTGAATATTTACTATTAATAATGTGGTCGTAAATAAACTGTCAAAATTAGCATAAGTAGCATAATAATGACAAATTATCTTATTTCACATCGATAATCGGGCGGCGGTAGTCACTTTCCATCAGGTGACCCGTCTGCTCGTCTGCCTCCTCTAACATAAAAAGAAGCTTAAAATTCGAAGCAAAATACAGAGTCAATACAGTCAGAGAATAAGATCAGCAGTGTTATATACTTAATAGTGACCACTTAATCCAATGGGTCAACCGTGAAATCTGTTCGTGTATGATGGATCTCATTCTAGTTCTCTTCTTCAACTTAAAAATTGTGTGAGAATGAGATTGTGACGGAAGATAGAAAATATACGTATCTAACGAGATCGAGTCATTTGGGTAAAGCGGGTGCAAAACGTGTATCTCACAAATGAGTAGCGACTTAGGGGTTGTTATTGTCAAAAAGTGTGCCAAGCTGGTTAATCATTAAAATAGCAGATAGCTAATCATTTTCTTAAAAAAAAATGCCTTTCTTATCTATTGGATGAAAGACTGTAGCAGAATCAAGAATCACAGTTTAGAACTTATTTTGAGCAAATACATGACAAATATCTATTTCAGCATGAATATTAATGTCTATATGTTAATGTATTTAGCCCGTTAAGCTGAGTTGGCTCATCTAGCCAACCTCAGAACGCATAATGGACCGTCTCTGAGGCTAGATGCGGAAACCGGAGCCCACCACCAATATTAAAGATTATTTGTGACTTTAGTGAATAGATATTTTTGTTTTTGACCTGCAAAATTATATATTTATAGTCCTATTATCGCGTACATAAGCTAAGTTTTTACAAACCACGTCACTAGAAAAAGGATTATTAATTTTATCTATTTATACATTTTTACACTGGCGCTTTTATTTGCGTACGCGTTTTGCGTTATCACACTACTCTGAATACACAGTTGTAATCGTCTATTTATAGGGTACCTATACTAGATGAACATTAACCATCACAAGTGTACGTACTAATTATTTCGAAAGCAATAGTTCATCTACATACAAAAACGTCATTAAAAATTGCGTCCTTAAAATACCTTCTATTTTACCTTTTTCGTATAGCGTTTGAAAAATATCTCATCGCGTTAGTACAAGTTTATAGATACTGTTACAAACAGTTAGAAGGCTCGGCAAAATCGAAAAATAAAATTAACCATTCGCTAAATAAATGTTTGCCTTACTATTTTATTAAAAGATTTTTAACCATATTCGGTTTATGGAACTCTTGCGCAAAATTCTATGGTTCTGGACATACCGATTAAACCTCAAGAGTAACAATTCACTTATGACTTATAAGTTGCAGGTGCCCATGGGCCGAAATAGTCACCATTAGGAGACCCGGCTGCTCACCTCCGTTGCCAAAACAAACAAATTTTGGCATCAAGCTATACTTTTTAAAACATAAACGTAAGGGTCTTTTATATTTTTGTGTCTAAAAAGGCTTCTAAAAATACATAATAATCCTATCCATGCATTAAGTTCACTGCAAAAACAACTGCAACGTGTAAATAAATGATAAGTAGATCACAATTTTGACGCCAGGTTAGGTAACCAAATTACTACACCTAACTGTATGAATAGAAAGTAAAAATCTAAATTAAAATAATAAGTCACCTTGAAACAAATACATATGTAAATAAAACGCTGATCTTTAGAAATAGCATCTTGAAAGTGATTTATAATGCTATACTTTCAAAGCAGATCAAATTGATTCGTCTACGTCAAATTTCATATTTAAATGAGGGTGGCCTTTAAATTAGGAGTTGTATCTGCTAAGCTCTACTATTTAAAGACAAGGGAATCTAAATGGGTAAAAGCTAAAGTACTATTTTTGCATACGTCTACGCAACCAGGTATGTAGTAATTATCGGACACTGCCATCTGCAAGAATAAGGAGTTTCTACCGCCAAGTAGTTCTAGATTGATTAGAAACCTGTTGAATCCTATCTCCTAGTATTATTAAACATACATTCCAGTGGTCTAGATAGACTGACAACCGAATGTCTTGGGCTTATCCTGACCTATTATAAAATCCTGTAGATCTCGTCTGCGTCAACTTTCACCTTAACTACCTACTATAATTTTTATAAATAGGTGCGATGCATTACCACCAAAAATATTCAACTACGTTTAAAAACGATTAGCATTCCAATTATTAGTATCGTTTAATGTATTCGAAGTATTAAAGAGCGAATTTACTCACGGCTTCCATCTGGCTAGACGTCGACTATAAAACAGACATCTTTCAATCATCGCCCCTCACTTGCCAAGGTTGGTTATTACGAAACGTCATTGGTTACTAATCTCATAATTATACGACGACGCATCATCTTAGAAGGTACCTACATCTG